CATCATACCAGTGATGTATTATATCACCATACTAGTGAGGTATTATATCATCACACCAGTGAGGTTATATATCCTCATACCAGTTAGGTATTATATCATCATACCAGTGAGGTTATATTATCATCATACCAGTGAGGTATTATATCATCATACCAGTGAGGTATTATATCATCATACCAGTGAGGTTATATATCATCATACCAGTGAGGTTATATATCATCATACCAGTGAGACAATATATTATTATACCAGTGAGGTATTATATCATCATACCAGTGAGGTTATATATCATCATACCAGTGAGGTTATATATCATCATACCAGTGAGGTTATATATCATCACACATGTTAGGTTATATATCAAACCAGTCGGATATTATATGTTAAGTTTATATCATCATACCAGTGAGGTTTATATCATCATACCAGTGAGGCATTATATTATTACCAGTAAAATATTATATCATCATACAAATGAGGTATTAAATCATTATACCAGTGAGGTATTATATCATCATACCAATGAGGTATTATATCATCATACCAATGAGGTATTAAATCATCATACCAGTGAGGTATTATATCATCATACCAATGAGGTATTATATCATCATACCAGTGAGGTATTATATCATCATACCAATGAGGTATTATATCATCATACCAATGAGGTATTAAATCATTATACCAGTGAGGTATTATATCATCATACCAATGAGGTATTATATCATCATACCAATGAGGTATTAAATCATCATACCAGTGAGGTATTATATCATCATACCAGTGAGGTATTATATCATCATACCAATGAGGTATTAAATCATTATACCAGTGAGGTATTATATCATCATACCAGTGAGGTATTATATCATCATACCAGTGAGGTATTATATCATCACACCAGTGAGGTTATATATTATCATACCAGTGGGGTATTATATCATCATACCAGTGATGTTATGTATGATCTTACCATTGAGGTTATATATCACCATACTAGTGAGGTTATATATATCATCATATACCAGTTAGGTTATATATCATCATACCAGTGAAATATTATATCATCATATCAGTGAGGTTATATATCATCATACCAGTGAGACATTATATTATCATACCATTGAGTTATAATGTCATCATACCAGTAAGGTTATTTATCATCATACCAGTGAGGTTATTTATCATCATACCAGTGAGGTATTATATCATCATACCAGTGAGACATTATATTATCATATCATTGAGTTATAATGTCATCATACCAGTGAGGTTATATATCATTATACCAGTGAGGATATATATCATCATACCAGTGAAGTATTATATCATCATACAAGTGAGGTTATATAGCATTATACCAGTAAGGTATTATATCATCATACCAGTATGGCATTATATCATCATACCAGTGAAATATTATATCATCATACCAGTGAGGTATATATCATCATTTCATTGAGACATTGTCTCTTATGTGAGACATTATCATCATGTCTTTGTTTTGTTGTGTTGCGTTCCATTATGTCATGTTATTTTGATGTGTCCATGTAACACATTTCATTATGACAGCACATCAATGTCATTGTTTCGTTAGTACATTATGTTACATCATTTATTTTTATTTGTTATGATGTAATGAAGCATATATTCATTTATTAGGAATTTATACATGTATATTTAATTGTGCAAAGCTCAAAAACTAACATGCTTTTCAATTAATTGGTTATTTAGATTTTGAAATCTAATTTTACTTACTTGTGAATACAAGTTGTGGCTTTATACTGAAAATATGTTAAGGAAAGGAAATAAACCTGATTTCTTTTTTATGTAAGGGGTTTTATAAATTTGCCTGTGTGTATACAATGCATTCATACATATTATTATGTTAAGAAAATCATGTAGCATCTGCTGGCCCTTAAGTAAATGCACTTTGCACAAATGTTACTTGGCTGAATATGCTTTGCATGATATGACCTGTACTACCAGAGTTGCTGCCCTTGACTTGGTTAATATAAAGTACTACATGTCCCTTTATACACTAGTCTTTAACTTTTGATGAAAACAAGCCACCAAAGACTATGCAAATGTTCTTTTGAATAATACGTTAATAAATTGTTTCTATATTAGACTATTATGACCTTAACTTGAAGTTTTATACAGTGCTCATATCATAAGTGTATGTCAAAAAGTTTTAAACGCTAACACAATTATTTTTTGGGATGAGATTTATACACAGTAGCTTTAGTTTCTATAATTATTGAACTAGTAACCCAAGAGTTTCAGCCCTTAAATTAGTCAAATTTAAGACATTTTTTGTGCAGCTCTATATAGTTAAATGACAGGTTGTTACCAAACTTTTAACAAGTGTTTATATGGTAACAATAAGTTCCAGCATACAAACATCAAAACTTAAAAATCTGAACATTTAAATTAAGCTTGTCTGCTTTATATAAACGAGAAAATTAACTTATGTAACTATATAATTTATCAAAGTGTTTGTTATTTGGAATTTATATGTTCTATTTTACAAGTATATTCAATTGCATCTGTAAACAGAAACATATTTATGCTTCCGATACCATACTTTAAAACTTGCTTTTACTTTAACACTTTGCATTCAAAGCCAGAAATTTATTATTTTCAATTTTGATGGAAGCAAAACAAAATAATGCCAAGTTTTTTATTAAGATAGAAATAAGGTTTGAAACCATAAAAAATAATAACCATTTATATTGAAAGCAAATTCTTAACAAAGCTTAATTATCAAACAAATGAACAGTTTACTACCTACAACATGTTGGGGATAATTTGTTTAACAAACAAATAACCTTTAGATTAATAAGATACATTCCCTATACAGGTTACTGGGAGGAGAGGGGGGGGGGGGGCAGCACTAATAATGTTTTGTATCCTATTAAACTTTCGCTTGGGTCAAAATAAATTTGTGCATAAAAACTAAAAAAGGTCAAGGCAGAGGCTCCCCTGTAATTTTTCCCTCAATAAAAGAGGGCAAAAAATCAACTTAATAGAGCTGGTGTCAATTTCTTAACAACGTCTTAGTTTTTAAAATGTTTATTTTATAAAATTTATTTCAGTAAAAGGAAAATTATTTTTACACAAGGAAGAAAAAAAAAAAGTAATATATTATTAGGTTGATAATTTTATATAGACTGCAGGGTAGTATAATTGTTTACGTTTATAGTAACATTGCCTGGCTTCATTATTAATTGCCACTTATCATAAAGGTTATTTTTTGGTAATAATAGTATAATGTCCACCTTTCAGGATGGTAGTATAGAAATAGGAAGAATAGTGAGAAACCTTTGTGGATTGAAAACCTTGTAAAACCTCTTTGACTAATTTACACTAAAATGTACAATGTTTCCATTTGATAACTTTACTAGCTATGATGTGATTTGTACTAAGTTTTAGACTTTGCCCTATTTTCTTAGTCCAATGACAAGACTTAAAAAATTTCTCATTGCCTATTTCCTATTTGTCTGTAGAAACTTACATTTAACATAAGTTTTGTATGTACCTAGATAAACTGTTCTTAGCAGGCCTTTGAAAGACTAAGTCAGTTGAACACTATTACATGAATAAGAAAAAAAATTAACAATTTAAAAATCTACAGTCTGTCCTACATCCTCCTTCAATCTGTTTAAATCATTGATTTAATATTATTATCCTCATTCTATTAAGTACTTCACAAATGTAAGACAATCTTAAGCATTTACTTAAAGCAGAATAAATATTGATCTTTGCCCAACTTTTTTGTCCAATTTTTATATTTTAAAATTTCTGACCATCCTTTTCCCATGAACTGTCTTCAGCAGTCTTTAATTAAGCAGTAAATGTGGCCTCTTTCTGGATAAACAACTCATAGCACATACAAAATGTAGGTAATTTTTTCAAAAAATATTTAAACAGCTATAGTTGGTCCCTTATAATTTCCAACAGAACTTAAAAGAAAAAAAAACTGACTGCATTATGTGTAGCTGTTTAAAGTATTTAATTTTTACTTATAAGCCTCAAACTGGCTTAGTCATAGTCTCTCTTTTTGTATGTGCATGCTATTTGTCCAAATAGGACACAACATTAGAATAAATGCTTTGTAAGACAGTACATTGGAAAGAGACTGTGAGTCATCTTGTTCATTGGATGAAAAAGATTAGGACAAAAGACTGGTTTCTTTGGTATTTTATCAAAATTGTTGTTTATGTAATTGAGACTGTGTGTTAGCACTTTCTGTATCACAAATGTATAAGCTATGACAAAGTTCATTAATTAGTACCAATTATCATGGGCAGTGTTTCATCAATTATCATGGACAATGTACTTTTTATAAAGAAATTTTGTTTGGTCAGTATTTCTTTTAATTTGTTTACTTGTAAGTTACTTGTGTCATTTTTGTAGTGATAATGTCAATTGGATACCTGTACATTTTAAAGATTTTTTTTTTGCTCCAAATTAATTATAATGTAAGTGTGTATATACAAATTAATTGTAGCTGCATTATAAAATTATATTTGTAAGGTATTTACCGAAAATAATTTTGTTTCCAGGGGGCATTAGTGAATTTTCACCATTTTCTACAACATTTTGACAAAATATTTATCACATGAAACTTGGTTGTTCTAAATGGGTTTTCATTTTTTTTACCAAAACTTTATTTTTCAGTTATTGCATGTTATTTTTTTCTTAGCAGTTTGACTTGATATGATTAACATTAAAAATTTTAATTGATATTCTTTTTGAATCATACTCATTATGTAATATATATTGGATGCTTAAGTGGCAAGATAAATTAATCTGTTTAATGTACAATATTATTACAGACAAAAGATGTGTTCTTTTTTCAGTTACATAATTCAGAGTTGTCTTCCCCTTATCTGATTATGACCCAGTTATGGGTCTTCTGTAACAACTATTTTTGACAATGTAGAATTGCATTATTTCTAAGTTAAAGGTTTATGTTCTTGGATGATTTTCAGACGATGCAAGCAAGTAAAAGGAATGCTGGAGTGCCGTCTGCTATGGTTGCTAGGCAATCACTGAATGATGAAGAATTGGTAGGTTGTAAAACAATAACTATATTAATAAAGATTTGTGAAAATATTTACATTTACAAAATTGAGGCATTTTAAAACATTGGATTCCAAAGAAACAAGTTTACAATAGAATGGGAGAGAATAAGTTTTCATTCCGTGCTAATAGTAAATACACATACCCAGTTACCCCTGACAACGGCAGAAATTATTGTGCTCTCTTATTCCAAGTAGATTCTACAGGTTAAGCATGGTAATATTTAGTCATTTATGTTATTTAGTGATGTTACAATGAATCATATTCTCGGACTATATTTTGGTTGAACTAAAATTAAAATACAGTATTTTAAATAAAATATTTAATATTTGTGCTGTAACTGTAACAAGATTACAAGGTAAGTATGAAGATCACATAATGATTGGAAATATATTGATGTGCAAACGTTTATTTGTAAAATAGTGTATAATGCATTATGTATTTCATGTTTGAGTTTTAGCTAGACTTTTTCAAAGAAAAAAAAAAGCTATTTCTACAGTCATGTTGACAATGCCATTGCTGTTGCAAAAGCCATCATTATTTAATTTCTCAATGGATTGACTTCATTCTTGGACACAACAACCCTTTGGACAAGACCTTTTATGGGGTTAAGTTGACCAGACTGAACTGACCTTTACTCAAATGACCTTTATCTTCAAGGTTAAATATTTGATGTTTGCTTGAATTTTCTATAATTGACTGTAAATCTGTTATTTATGAATGGAATTTGAATTGTCTTCAAAATTGGACACAACAATCCTTAGAACAAGACCTATAAAGACCCAATCAATTATGACCTCCACTGATCAGTGACTTTGAAATTGTAGGTCAAATTATTTAATTTTTCTTGATTTTGCTATGATTGGTTATAACTTTTTTATATATATGAATGAAATCTCTTCATACTTGAGCACATCTACCTAAAACAATGTCTTAAAATTGATCAAACCCAATTTGACATGGACTGATAAATGACCTTGACCATAAAGGTCAAATTATTGTAAATTCCATTTTTTTGCTATAATTGGCTATGACTTTGTCTTCATACTTGAGCACAAGAACCTATGGAACAAGACATAAAAGAAGATTTTATTGAACTTGACATTGACCTTAATTTGCTCTTGACACAAAAGGTCAAAATAATGAATTGCACTACAATTGGCCATATCTTTGTAATTTATTTATGGATTTTATGTATACTTGGGCAAAAAGAAAATTATAACAGAACTGTCATGTAAAGTATTTCAGATATGACCTTGACCTTTATATGAACTTGACTGTCAAAGTCTTATATTGAATTTAGCCAAGATTGTCATAACTTGTTTTGGTTAATTCTTGGACAAAAAAAGCTCTTATGACAAAACTGAAGTAAGAGAAAGTCAAGTATGGACCCAATCTGGCGGTGGCTCTTTTTTTTGTTTTTTTGATGTAATGAAAGTTCTCTAATAACCTTTTACTGTCCATTGGTGGTTCTATTCTGTTGCCTGCTAATGTGCTTGAAATAATGCACAGAGGGGCAAGTGAGGTCTTCCTTTACTTTTAATACTGGAATTACAAACAGATCAAACTGGTGCCATTTTGGCCATTACAACAATTGTCAGTGTGACTAAAAATACCATCTAAACATTTACCTTTTCTACAAAATTGATATTATGTTTCAATTATTTTAAACTTATTTTATTATATTTCTTCTGTAGAAAATGCATGTTTACAAGAAAACTCTGCAAGCTTTGATATATCCGATATCAAGCACAACACCTCACAATTTCTATGTATGGACAGCTACATCTCCTACTTACTGCTTCGAATGTGAGGGACTATTGTGGGGCCTGGCTAGACAAGGTGTTCGCTGTACGGAATGTGGAGTGAAATGTCACGAGAAATGCAAGGATCTGCTCAATGCTGACTGTTTACAAAGTAAGATATTAACAACAAGTTGTTGTTTCCTCATACAGTCATATATTCTCCATATGAAATAAATTAGCAATTTTAGTTATATATTTACAGAAATAGACAAAAAAAGACCCATGCTAAGGGAGTGAATTAACTAATCCTTATATCCTTGTACTTTATAAAGTAATACAGTTGTAAACATTCCTGTCCTGATATTACTAGAAAATAAACCATCAATGGAACTTTGTAAAAAAAAAAAAAAAACACAGTTCAAAAACACTGTTGCTTTTAATTCATCTGGAAAAATTTGATTATATAGCATGGAATAGATGTTTTAGCTTTTTATGCTCCCTGAAGGGTGAGCATATAGTCGCCGCTTTGTGTGTTCGTCTGTCCGTCCATCTGCTATTCTTGTCCAGAACATAACTGTGAAACAACAAGAGGTATCAACATGAAACTTTGTAGGTAGATAGATCTCATTGAGTAGAAGTGTAGTGCAAACAAACCATAACTCTGTCTTGCCTAATTTTGGAGTTATTGCCCTTTGTTCATTTTACACTTTGAACTTAACTCCAAAACTGTTAGAGATATCAACATGAAACTTTGTAGGTAGATAGATCTCATTGAGTAGAAGTGCATTGTTAAAGAACCATAACTCTGACTTGCCTAATTTTGGAGTTATTGCCCTTTGTTCATTTTCACACTTTGAACTTTGTCCGGACATAACTCTAAAACTATAAGAGATATCAACATGAAACTCTGTAGGTAGATAGATCTCGTTGAGTAGAAGTGTATTGCAAAAGAACCATAACTCTGTCTTGCCTATTTTTGGAGTTATTGCCTTTTGTTCAGTTTCACACTTTGAACTTTGTCTGTGACATTATTCTTAAACTATATGAGATATCTACATGAAACTTTGTAGGTAAGATAGATCTTATTGGGTAGAAGTGCAGTGCAAAGGAACCATTATTCTTCCTTGCCTTATTTTGGAGTTATTGTCCTTTGTTTATTTTTACACTTTGAACTTTGTCTGGGACATAACTCTGAAACTATAAGAGATATCAACATGAAACTTTGTAGGTAGATAGATCTCATTGGGTAGAAGTGCAGTGCAAAAGAACCATAACTCTGTCTTGCCTAATTTTGGAGTTATTGCCCTTTGTTCATTTTTACACTTTGAACTTTGTCCGGGACATAACTCTGAAACCATAAGAGGTATCAACATGAAACTTTGTAGGTAGATTGATCTCATTAAATAGAAGTGCAGTGCAAAAGAACCTTAACTCTGCCTTGCTTAATTTTGGAGTTATTGCCCTTTGTTCATTTTTACACTTTGAACTTTGTCTGTGACATAACTCTGACACTACTAGAGGTATACTTTCCTCTCCAAAACCTACATGGGGAGCATCATCTGGTTCAACCAGTTCTTATTTTATTCTGCTATTATAAATATTTGCTGTGCTTTTATGATTTTTATTTCCGTCATGCTTGGAGCTTATTTTTCTTTTTTCTTATCTTAAATCCTGTTTTATATTTACTTAATGATACTTGCAGTATATTGTAGTACTGTTTATTATAACTTAATTAATTTTATGTCAGCAAGAAGTATTGAAATTTACCACTGATATCTTGCTTTCTAAGATTTGCTTATTGTCCAGTTTTGCTTGCATCCTTAAACAAATGGCATGTTTTAAATAGTTGAATTAGAAAAATATTTTGTAATTATCTAGACTTCACCTTATTTTTTATTTGTATTAATACATCTACATTTATATGGGTATAACTCCATTCAGAATTGCTTCCTCAATGGCCAAGTGGTTAAGTTTACTCACATTAAATAGCTTCCAGCACTGATTATCATACCAGACTTTGAAACATGTCACAGAAAGATGGCCTCAAGGCAGTTAAATGGAGATAAATGCTTCTATCAAGTTACCTGTATAATTATTTGTCTGTGTGACTTAAAACCAATTTAAAATAGAGAAGTCAATGTAGAATATGATACTGTAATATATACCAGTAGTTATTTTAAGAGAGACATTGTGTCTGACACCATTAGTTCTCTATCCAATAAGAATAAGTTTATTATGAATTGATTTTTTGTGGGAATTTGAATGGGAACTATAATGTATTATGAATAAAAAGTTAATGTTTGTACAGGATGGTTAGTCTGATGTATTATCCATTTGCCCAATAACACTGATCAGATTTCTTGACCAGTTGTTCTGTAAGACTGGTAAGATTCATTGCTCAGTTGTTCAATAACACTAAATATATTTCTTGTCCTGTTGTTCTGTAACACTGATAAGATTTATTGCTGAGTTGTTAAATAACAATCAAAAAATTTATTGCCCAGTTGTTCAGTTACAGTGGTAAATTTTACTGCCCAGTTGTTCAATAAGACTGGTGATATTTGTTGTCCAGTTGTTCAATAACTCTGGTACGATTTATTGCCCAGTTGTTCAATAACACTGGTTCGATTTATTGCCCAGTTGTTCAATAACACTGAAAAGATTCATTGCCCAGTTGTTCAATAACACTGAAAAGATTCATTGCCCAGTTGTTCAGTAACACTGAAATAATTTATTGCCCAGTTGTTCAATTACACAAGATTTTTTTTGCCCAGTTGCTCAGTTACACTGGTATGATTTATTGCCCAGTTATTCAATAACTGTGATAAGATTTATTGTCCAGTTGTTCAATTACATTGAAGATTTTTTTTTGCCCAGTTGCCCTGGGTAACACTGAGAAGATTTATTGCCCAGTTGTTCAATTACACTGGTAAGATGTATTTCCCAGTTGCCCTGGGTAACACTGGGAAGACTTATTGTCCAGTTTAATTCTCAATAACACTGGTAATATTTATTGCCAAGCTGTTATCTAGACATGTAATATTGATTACCCAGTTGTTCAGGAACACTATGAAGATTTATTGCACTTTGTTTTTATTTCTCTAAAGTTCTACTCAAAAGAGAGGCAAACAATTAAACAAACAATTAAACTATCACCTTGGTTTTGTGAGAGCCAGTGTTTAAAAAAAAAGAGTATGCCACAGGTAAATTTTCATACAACCAAAACTGTTTATTTTCTTCTTTAGTTTTTATTTTAACTAATTTTAGGCTCTCTATAAATGCATGTGCTTTATTTTTACGTTTGTTTATTTTTACTTCTGTAAAGTTCTTGTTTATTTTTACTTCTGTAAAGTTCTTGGCAGAAAAAAATATAGAGATAGTGAGTATATAGTATATAACAGTGTCCTTGCTCTCCATGGTGTTATATTTCCTGTATTGCTTGTAGTTTACATTGTTTTGTCTTTTATAATATGAGCCGCGTCATGACAAAACCAACGTAATGCGTTTGCGACCAGCATGGATCAAGACCAGCCTGCACATCCGCGCAGTCTGATCAGGATCCATGCTGTTGGCTTACAGACCCTATAACAAGTAGAGAAACTGATAGCGAACAGCATGGATCCTGATCAGACTGCGCGGATGCGCAGGCTGGTCTAGATCCATGCTGGTCGCAAACGCACTATGTTGGTTTTGTCGTGACACGGCTCATTTGTTGCATTTTCCTGGGAACAGTCAGCTTATGAAATATTATGTATTTGTAGTAAATGCATATGACTTGACAAGTAATATACTTAAGTTACGAAATTACCTATGCAATAACAAGTGCTATGTTTTAAAGGTCTCACAGTCATGTCCTTCAGAATAACAAGTGATCGAGATTTGAAATAAAAGTACCTCTTACATAATGATTGACCTGTGAGTTTGAAAATTACTTTTAAGACATAATTATGAAATAGACCATTAAGATTACTTATTGACCGTTAAGATAACAACTGGCCTTTCATAATTATTTAGCATGATTGTGACTTTTAACTGATATTTTAAGGTAAAAAGTGACCTTTATTAGTTCTTTATAGTAATTATTTTTATAGCAAAATAAGCGGATAATTGGGAGCAAAGACATTAGACTTTAGTTATTTAACAAAGATAACTTTGTGGCTAGCTCTTTATGGGTTATATTATGCAGAATTGGAGAGATGGCAACTAAGTGACTGGTTAATATTTATGATTGCTAACTATGTCTTGTGCGTACAGTAATGAACAGTAGGATACTGGAAGTTGCTCCCAATGACATAGCTGGACTAATTTATGAGATGATCCTATACATTTTAACTTGGCTGTTCAAAGAATATGGGGCTGTCCAAGGGGTCAGCATCAGTAACAGTTCTCATGCAACTTCTTGTACAAATTTTAATGTATCATCAATCACTGTTTGCTTATTACCTCAGTGTTTCTTGATAATTGTTTACAGAGTGTGATAAAAAACCTTAAAATACTGGTCTTTTGCTTTGTTTTCTTCAAAATTAGTAAAAGGTCATTAATTTTAAAAGTTTTCGGTTACTCCACTGGTCACTCATTTTGTTTTCTTATAAATTAGTAAAAGGTCATTATTTTAAAAGTTTTCGGTTACTTACTGGTCACTCATTGGACACTAGAAGTTAAAATCATATGAATGTGTAAGGTAAAACAACAGATGCAGTTTGTTGTTTGAAATTATTTGAAAAAAAAGAAGATATTGTATTGTTTTTGCCAAAAGGTAAAAGGTTATTTATGTGATTTCACTATTTGACAAAAAAAATTGAAAAATTAGAAAGAAAAAAAACATTTAGTTTCTTAATTGTTATTAATATAGTAATTGTGTGTAAGAGGAACAGTAATGTTGTTTTGAAATAGTGAAGTTTGAGACAAGGTGAATTTATTGTATTTGATGTTGTTCTGTGAAGAAGTTGCTTTGTGTTGTTGATACCTTTGATATTACTGAATGCACTGCAGCCATATTTTCTTTAAAATTCCAAAGATTAATTAAAAAGAAATTATTCAGTTTTGTGAATTTATATCATAATTTTAGGTTATATCAATAAGCGTATAAAAGATTGTGTTTTAGGTTTTATAATACAAGGTATTTTATTCCAAGCTATGTTAAGCCCGACTTAAACAAAATATATACATAGACATTATTAATTTACATGTGATTTACAATTATACCTTCTTTCATGATTTAAGAATTTCAGCCCTTACAAACCTAATATATCTTAAATGGACATGTCTTGTTTTCAGTCTAGACAAAACTATTTAATATCATTTTAAGGGAAATTTTCACAAAATAATCTGACTGAATAGAAAACAGTGCTGAGCATGATAAAACAAGATAGCAAGGCTATGGCAGGAGATCTGGCATGGGTAGAGTCAGTAGTTGCCAGCAGGCTATGTTACAGGTTCAAAAGTACAGTTACGTTTTTATACAAAGAGAGTTTTAAAGGTAATTAAAGCTAACAAGATTGGGATAGGTTTATATGTATTTTACCGGTAACAAATTGTGATGTTATTTGTTTGTATTTAAACAGGAGCTGCAGAGAAGAGTTCTAAGCATGGTGCTGAAGATAAAACACATAACATTATAAAGGCAATGAGAGATCGAATGAAACTGAGGGAACGTAATAAACCAGATATATTTGAACTCATCAGGTACATAACTCAATTTCCGAGGGATCACCCTTTTTCCAGATTTTCATAACACAAGGCATGGGAGCGCCAAGTGTGATCTGAAAACCAAATACAACTCCTATTATAGGCCTTTTATTATGTACCTTCAAAACAACTTTTCACAACACATGGCATAGGAGTGCCAAGTGTGATCTGTTGTAGTAAAATCAATAACAGTCAAAAACAACTCGTATAATAAGCCTTTTATTATAAACCTTCAAACTACATATTCCACTATAACATAATTGGCATAAAGCATTCAGGCTTTTTCTGGATTGCACTGGGTGGGGTATCCGTGGATGAGTGGTTCAGGTTGTTGCCTTCAAACCACTTCCCCCTCAGTGCTGTGGGTTCGAATCCCAAAAGGGGCTTTGGATTCTTGCATGTGAGGAAGCGATCCAGCTAGCTTATTGAATGTTGATGGTTCTACTCAGGAGCCTGTTGGTGTCTGAAATATTGCATGGAAGGGCAACTGAGGTTTAATAATATTGCAACAGTAAAGCTGGAATGTTGCCTTATGGGCTATACTGTGTTGGTGTAACGTAAAACCCAACCAAAAAAAGATGGATCACACTGCAATGTAATCCTGATGGGTTGTAATTTTGCAGTATGATACATGCATTAAATAACAAAAAAGTGAAGGTTTATTATAAAAATAGTTTCTTTGACAATGTTGTTTAGATTGCTAACATTCAATCACTTGCTATTCACAGCAATGGTCATTTAACTAGCCAATGATTCTAACCATATGCTTATGCCTGAAAATATACCTACAGAGGCACCTCGGGTATTATTATCCCCCGCCGAAAAAGGCGGCGGGGGATATAGAAATAGTCTTCGTCCGTCCGACCTTCCGTCCTTTCCGTCCGACATTTTTGTCCGGAGCAATATCTCTAAAAGTATTTGAGTAATCAACTTGAAACTTCATAGGTGGATAGACCTCATTGAGGAAGAGTGCAGTGCATAAGAATGATAACTCTACCCTGCATAATTTTTGAGTTATTGCCTTTTGTTATTTTTCAAAATTAATTTTTGTCCAGAGCATAACTCAAAAAGCCTTTGAGATATCAAAATGAAACTTCATAGGTGCATAGATCTCACTCAGGAGGTGTGCAGTGCACAAGAATGATAACTCTACCTTTCATAATTTTAGAGTTATTGTCCTTTGTTATTTTTCATACCTAATTTTCACCCAATTGGAGTATAACTCAAAAGTGTTTGAGATGTCAACATGAAATGTCATAGGTGGATAGATTTTATTGAGGAGGAATGCTGTGCACAAGAATGATAACTCTTCCCTGTACAATTTTTGAGTTATTGCCCTTTGTTCTTTTTCATACTATTTTGTCGGGAGCTTATCTCAAAAAGTATTTGAGGTATCAACTTGAAACTTCATAGGTGGATGGATCTCATTGAGGAAGAGTGCAGTGCACAAGAATGATAACTCTACCCTGCATAATTGTTTAGTTATTGCCCTTTTTTTATTTTTCAAAATTAATTTTTGTCCAGAGCATAACTAAAAAGGCCTTTGAGATATCATTATGAAACTTCATAGGTGCATAGATCTAACTCAGGAGGTGTGCAGTGCACAAGAATGATAACTCTACCTTTTATAATTTTTGAGTTATTGCCCTTTGTTATTTTTCATACTTCATTTTTCAATTCAATTTTTTTCTCAAAAAGTATTTTAGGTATCAACTTGAAACTTCATAGGTGGATAGATTTTACTGAGGAGGGATGCAACACACAAGAATGATAACCTACCCTGCATTATTTTTCAGTTATTGCCCTTTGTTATTTTCAGCCATCAGTATTCACATAGGTTTCAAATCTGTAATCACTATAGCCATCAGTTTTCATTACCAAAAGACCTCTTAAACTGTACTACATATACATTCTTCCAATGAGCAAACACATTCGGCGGGGGATGGCCATGTTGACATGGCTCTTGTTCCTTTAGAAGTAAATTTAAAACTCACGTTTTGACTTCAACAGTGTCAAAGTGGCATAAAAGAACAAAAGAAAGATGTTTACAGAGTAAAGAATGTTAATTCATTGTATTATGATATATTTATCTACCAGCCAAGTGTTCAGTGTTGACAAGAAATCACATTCAGGTCACATGAAAGCTGTCAAACAGAGTGTATTAGATGGTACTTCCAAGTGGTCAGCCAAAATAGCAATAACAGGTCAGTTATAATGTACATTTAAGATAAATTGACTCAAATTAGATAATAAATATGTGATTTGATACAAAAAGTTGCTGGTTGTTTATATGCTGTTTCACAAGGTACATGAAGTTTTCAGTTTTCAATTTCATGAATTTCAGCAGTGCTGTTAAAATAATGATATTTATATTTTGCTTGGTTGATTTGAGATCAAAGTAAGATAAATTCAAATATAGCTGGTGTAAAGAATTATGATAGGCACTATATCAAAGTCAGATTTATTTACATACAATTTTAATGTAAAATCGTGTGTAAACTTTATACCCCCAGAACCTGAGGGGGGGAGGGGTATATATTCACTCTTGTCTGTCTGTCTGTAATGATGGCCATCTGCAAACTGACAAAATAGCAGAATGTGTTTTGGGGGGTGGGGGTTTGTGTTCTGTTCTCAAGTTTTGCTAGTATCATGATTGTAGTTATGTTAACATTTCACATGGACTATTTCAGTAATATGTGCCCAAGGGTTAATAGGAAAGGATAAAACAGGAACCAGTGATCCCTATGTTACAGTACAAGTTGGTAAAGTGAAGAAAAGAACTAAAACTGTTCCTCAAGATCTAAATCCAGAATGGCATGAAAAATTCTATTTGTAAGTATTTGATTGGTTTCTGTTTTGTTGATTTTATTGATGTGTAAAACTCTGGAAAATTCAACATCTCACTTACTTCCCTTTATAATACCATCGAATTTTCAGTTTTAACAGTGTTGCAAATTCGGTCTTTGATTTCTGTTATTTCTTGCTTTTTTTAAAAAGATTGTAAGAATTTTCTGCCTGAATAATACTAAGTTTAATGAAAATATGAAACTTCACAATGTTTGACAATGTGTCAATTAACTAGAATTTAAACCAGTCCAAAATTAATTACAAAAATTTTTGACAGGTGATATGACCCTATACTGTTTGTATATATAACCTGACACGACAGGTGAGGGTAATATTTCAAACAACTGTTTATATAACATGCCAAGAATCTTTATAAGGAATTTATAATACAGTAAACTTCCTAAATTTTATAGTAAAAGAAATTAAATTTCTTCATAAATTGACAGCAGTTGTGTAAATAAAACTATATAAAAGTCATGGTTATCCAATAAAAAGCGGTGTTACAAACTTGCAGTATTATAAATAGATTCTGAGCTTATTACAGGGAATGTTCAGTGATGGAAAAGGTACTTGGGGTAACTTTATCCATAGTTTTTGACAATGTTGGAGAATAATATTAATAGGGCTTATAAAATAATCTCCAGCATTGGACAAATTTTACTGACTCAAGACAGCACATGACATTTTATTTGTACTAGTAGTGTAAAATGGTAGCAATAAAATACACTTTTTTTGGTTTCAGTGAATGTCACAATTCATCTGACAGAATTAAAGTCAGGGTCTGGTAAGTTTATACATGATTGTTACATATTTCTTTTACACCTTAACCAAATTATTTATTATAAAAACTATATAGCTCACTTTATGATGATAATTACAGTATTTTATGTATATGAATTAGTTAATTTTGTAACAAAAAACAAATGCATTGACGGAATGAATACCAATAGAACCTCTTTTGCTAAAAACTAATGCATATTCTATATGCCGTGTACTCAAAATTTATACATGCAGAAAGTGCAGTTGTTGCGAGTGAATATGATTTCATTTCACTTGAAGTTTTAAGTTTTGTAAAATGTTTTCAGTAATTAAAAAAAAATATGTGATGAAGCATTAGGTATGAAAAAAATCTGACCCTTCAGATTGAAATATAAATTTGTACATATTCCATAAAGTTTAGAAAAGGGGAGATTATTTTATGCTTGTTGACTAACAGTTGTGATATAAATTATACCCCACTGATTAAAACAATGTACTGTGATAATTGTAATAAATCAGGATACAGTTTCAGCATCATGATGCCATAAAATAAATGCAACCACAAAGTTTAACATGGTTAAATATGTCTAGTACTTAGAAAAACTTAACAAATTTTCTTATGTTTCTCTGCGTGAACTATATGCCCTCGGTAAAAACGTTACTTTTATTTTACTCACTGTGCTGCCATCTACAGGGATGAGGATAATGATTTAAAATCAAAGTTACGACAAAAACTGACGAGGGAATCTGACGACTTTCTAGGTCAGACTATCATCGAGGTTCGCACGTTAAGCGGTGAAATGGACGTGTGGTATAACCTTGGTAAGGTGTATGTGGACAGAGTGCATGTAGCTTTATTCATTGTCATCACCAAATGGTGTGCCTGTATTGTATGAGGGACATAACTTCTGTTCTGTGGGACGTACCTTTTGTTATTTTTGGTTTATTTATTTTGTCTAGAAGGCTCCAAGGGAAACTTGTCTGACAAATTTTGTGTATACAGTAAAAAGATTGCAAAGATTACAGAAAAGTTTTGACTTGTGCCTTTTAACAGATCAGTCTTTGCTTGTTTTTTTCTTTCATTTTTTTTTTATCTCTCTTCCTTTTGTGTATTTCTGTTTTGTTCTATGGTTTTGGAAGAAAAAAGAACATAGCCGTTTTGTATTTTGTTTTGTGCTTCAGCCATTCCAATGTAAAAATGACCTCCCTTGTATTTATAGACTTTCATGTGATGAAAATGATTTTACTGAATTTATTTCCTATGATGTAGAATTATTTCCTATTACATTTTGCATGCTATATGTATCAAATGCTTACATCAGTCAGAAATGTACAAGAGAGAAATGGCATGCTGGACTTTCAGAGAAAATCTTCATGTAACAGATGAAATTTTAAGAAGACATAATCATATTCTCTTATTTTTGGCCCCTAGTTATTTACACAAGATGTTACAGACATGTCTGTACAACCGGTGTTAAGCCAATGACAAACTTGTACTGATTGTGGTTTTACCAAAATAATATAGTTTTTGTTGCTTAATTGTGACATTTTGTATAGATGGACACCAGAATTTGTCCATTGCAATAGTTTTACTTTTTAAGGGACATTTAGGGTTTATATAACTAATTTAATCATAAGTTTTTCTGAAAATCATTTTGGCCTTTGCTGTATTTATAGAATAATATTGAATGGTTGTTATAAACCTGGTTTATCATATAATATGGAAAGCAGATATTTTATTACGATATACATGTATGCTTGGAAAAGGGAGATAATCTGTTTCCTTCTAAAACTTATGTTCTGACAAGTATTAGGTCTCTTTGCTTCAATCATTCTTCCCTGTTTTCAGCTTGTATGTCAAGATAGCATGTAATACATTTGCTGTTTTTCTTCTTTTCCTCAATTTAGTGTGTTGTACTTTATGCATGTTTTATTTTGTTGTTTTCATGTTTCTGTTCTTATCATTTTGTTGTTCACAGTAAAATATCAGGTGTATGTGAGACTATAACCAGGAAATTTAGGTGTTTAAAAGTGCTGTGTTTCACATTCTAGTTCTACTCTAGAATTTACCTCACTTAAACATTCGTTTCTTGTTGGATTTTAAAATTATTTTTTTCTTTACCATGGCAACTGTAACCAAAAGGTGATAATTGTATACATTTTGTATTTTAAATGTTTTGATAAATTTCAAAATTAATAGGGTATCAGAAAATTACCACAGTGTCACACTTATTATACCTGATATTTTTTTCTGTGAACAAAACTTTTTGCAGAGAATCAAGGGACAAAAATGAGAGAGACTGTGTCAGAGGTCTATTTAAACTATAGACACTAATAAACCTATGACCTTATAACTGTAGGTGTAATTTGATTATATTTTCAAGGGATGAAGATAATGATTTAAAGTCAAGAATAAGAAAGGCATTCACCCCTGAACCAGATGATTTTCTCGGCCAAACAATAATAGAGATTGCACAACTGTGTGGAGAAATGACAATTTGGTATAATTTAGGTGGGGAACATATTTTTTAGTAAACTAAACTATACACTGACTAACAAACTGGTTAACATGGTAAAATGCTAGTTAGCTATAGTAACCTACTTATACCACCATTATATAGCCAGGACAGACCTAATGTTTTGCTGCAGTCTAATAGACTAAATTAATACAAATTTATAGTGTTTTGATATTGTTTTAACAGCCTATAACACATAATTAACAGAGTAATGGGTAACTAATGGGCAGTCTTAAGCTAGATAACCTAACTACATATATATTTTATTATATTGTATAGCATTAAAGTTTTAAGAAGTAATCATAGGACTTATCATATATATCATCTATATTAACAGACTGTATAATGCTTGAATACTAACATGGATGGCTTGATGCAACATTGTTATTGTATCTTGTTTGAATGTCCTGTCTTTAACTTTGAATAACAGTTCCTGAGAAGGAAGATTTCTGGTTTAATGTCACACATAGCTACAGGAATATTTCTTTTCTATAATAAAGCTGTTACATTATGTTAACACAATGTTTTAATCCCTCTTTTTATAAGGCATTGACATTTATTGTTGCTAGAAGTAAAATTAGTCATAGATATAAGTAATCAGTCCCTTGTTTATTTAGCCTTGCAGTTAAAAAGCCTGCCTACAAAGCTTGTATTTAGATATTTGATGGGAAGGTATTTGCTTAACTTTTTAAAAGATAGCTAAGGGAGATGTTTAGGCCTGTTTAGAACAAGGTCAAGTTACTAATAATAAGTTTTTATAAAATGAAATATTGCTGATAGAATGCTGTCTTGTCCTTGATTTTAAAAAACACTACATAAAAACCTGCCACATTATAGTTACAAAGAACTGAATTACTTAAATGGAAATTAAAACTCTTTGGCAGTCATGACTTTGCAGTTCAAGTCGCACATAATATATCAAGTTTGTTTTGGTTTTTGGTGTTTTCTTTCTGTTTTTCTTGAATATATAAAGATTTCTTTCATGTTCTTGGAATTTTTTTTCACCTTTTTTATTTGGTGGGTGGTGCTGAGTTTACTATCACAAGTCTTATATAGTATACAGGTCTAAAAAAAGTCTTTTTCCTCTGAAACTACAATGCACAGAGCATAAATACATGTATGTTATATGTAGTCGTCCACATAAGTTAAATAGCCCCACTTTTGGGGGTCTCTTAGTTTATATAGAATTGTATAATAACTAACTTTATGTATTCTTTTGTTAAACTTTAATTTTTGGTATGTAGCATTGCCTTAAGTAGATTTCTACAAAAAATTTATGAAACAGGCCCCTCAGGTCAAAAGAATGGCCCCAACAAATTTCATGAATTGATATTTTCCCTAAGTAAAAGGTCATTCACAATACCTTGATGTAAATGCAAGAAAACTGTTCTTTAATGCTTATATCTTACCACATTTAGATTATTGTTGTACAGTCTGGGGGAATTGTAACAATGAACAGATTTTGGATATCATAAAATTTCAGAAAAGAGCTTCAAGAATCATTCTTGACAAAAGCTACGATGCTCCATCTGCTGAGTTATTTAATGAATTAAATTGGATAAAATTTGATGAAAGAATTAGATACAAAAAAGCTGTCATTATGTATAAATCTTTAAACAATGCCTCATTTCCACAGTACATGGAAAACAAATTTCAATTTATTCATCAAAGACATGAGCATAACCTTAGGTCAGCAAAAAACTCAGATTTATTTGTGCCACAACCTAAAAAAGAAATTTTTAGAAAATCTCTGACATATTCAGGCCCTAAACTATGGAACAATATCCCTCATTCTATTCGTAAATCTGAAACTATTAGAAAATTCCAAGCTTCCTATATCAGTTGGAATTTCACATAAGTACCTTGGTCTTGCATAGATTAAGTATTAAGTAATATATGTACATGCATTGTGTTTTGAATATGTATTTTGTACATTGTTTTTGTTGTGTTTTCATGTATATATTATGCATTTTTGTCTTCATGTATGTTATTTGAAAATTTTGCTGTATAACCATTATGTAAATTATGTAAATTATGTATATTTTATGTATATTTATGTTTTGAGGCCCACATGGAAGATTGGGAAACCAAATGTGTAGCCTCAGTAAATAAAGACTTTACTTACTTACTTACTTACTATTCTGGATCACTCAAAGAAATATTCACATTTAGGTTTATATTAGTACCCAGCTCCACCCCTTTGCTGTACTCTTGTTTTTGAATGTAGACTACATGTTTATCTTTTTAATTCAGTAGCACTTGCCTCCATAATATGTTTAACTGTTGTTATATGTTAAAAAATGTAAGCTATTTGATTTATAGGTTTTGAGGAATCATTCCTTGAAAATAGTAATACCTGTAATAATAGTTTCATATTAATGTCATTTTAATTATTTACATTGCAATACTTTTGCTTTCATTTTGTAAATATATGTAAAAATATGGTAATGAATAAGACATTATATTAATTTAATTACTGTCAAGACATTAGTTTCAAGTACTTGAGAGAGTAAAAATTTAAGAAGCTAAACCAAGGAATTTCTCTATAATGAAGAGTTGCATGTCATCTTTAATTTACACATGGAGGAAGTTTGTATTTTTAATTTCTTAACCATAATGAATTACTAAATTGGACTTTATTGACTTTTGTAGAAAAGAGAACAGACAAGTCAGCTGTTTCTGGTGCTATTCGTTTACACATAAGTGTTGAAATTAAGGGAGAGGAGAAAGTTGCCCCATACCATGTGCAATATACCTGTTTACATGAGGTAAGTAAAGTTTACCCTGTACCATGTGCAATATACCTGTTTACATGAGGTAAATAAAGTTGCCCCATACCATGTGCAATATACCTGTTTACATGAGGTAAGTAAAGTTTATCCCATACCATGTGTAATATACCTGTTTACATGAGGTAAGTAAAGTTGCCCGATACCATGTGCAATATACCTGTTTACATGAGGTAAGTAAAGTTGCCCGATACCATGTGTAATATACCTGTTTACATGAGGTAAGTTAAGTTGCCCCATACCTTGTGCAATATACCTGTTTACATGAGGTAAGTAAAGTTTATCCCATACCTTGTGCAATATACCTGTTTACATGAGGTATGTAAAGTTTCCCCATATTACGTGTAATGTACCTTTTTACATGAGGTAAGCAGAGCTGTGCTGTACAATGTTTAAAATAACTGTTTACATGAGATAAGTAAAGTTGCCATATGACCTTTTCAATGCTGGTTTGTCTTAAAAAAGCCCAAACAAATCCTACTTGACCAAAAAAACAAACAAACAAAAACATAACCTTAGTACTGTATAATAAATTTATGAGACGCTGGTGTAGTGGTTGAGGTTGCTGATATTGAATTACTGTGTACTTGTTTCCTACAGATACAGGGTAGAACAGGGTAGAACACGTTAAAGAATGACAAATTATTCCTGTATCTAGTTGAAGATCGCTCCTTGTATCCAGTTTCCAAAGTATGAGTGTACTATAGAGCCACCGAACCATTGGTCCATCAGTTAAAAGCAGAGTTTCCATACAACCATAACAGTGTTTATGTAACTAAACTGACCAACAAAAAGAAAAAGAAATAACCAGCATTTCATTTCTGCTCCTGTTCAGTCTTTTACAAAATTAATGTCTTACTGAAATATATTAAAGTAAGTAAAGGTAAATCACAAAAATAATTAACACAACATTAAATTGATAATTATTACTTACATTAGTTTATTTATTATTTCAGAACTTATTTCATTTCCTGTGTGAGCAATCAGGTGGAACAGTGAAGTTGCCGGAGACGTCAGGGGTAAAGCCAAAATTAGTATGTATGCATGGTTCCTATGCTCCTTATGCTTTATATATATATATGCCAGGGGTAATCACAGCTGGCTGTGGTCATTGTTATATATGTTTATGCAAGTCTATGCTCATTGATGCAAAAGTCCATGCAGTATTATAAAATTTATGCTGATTAGTTCAAAATTCATGGTTTGCCTTTAATTTTATGCTCGCTGGTTTATAAGGCCATGTTTACCATTTATGATTTTCTGCTTGTTGGTTCAAAAGACGATGATAAGCAGCTGTAATTTTTAGCTCGACTATTCGAAGAATATGAGAGCTATTGTAGTCGCCCCGGCGTCGGCGTCAGCGTCCGCGTCGGCGTCTGCGTTGCTTAAAGTTTTTTGTAAAGTCAAATATCTCAATTATTACTTGAGATATTCAATTGAAACTTACAATACTTATTTATAGTAACAAGGTACATCAGATTGACAAGTTGGATAACTCTGCCTACAATATTGACAGAATTATGCCCCTTTTTAACTTAGAAATTTTGGTTAAAGTTTTTTGTAAAGTCAAATATCTCAATTATTGCTTGAGATATTCAATTGAAACTTACAATACTTATTTATAGTAACAAGGTACATCAGATTGACAAGTTGGATAACTCTGCCTACAATATTTACAGAATAATGCCCCTTTTAACTTAGAAATTTTGGTTAAAGTTTTTTGTAAAGTCAAATATCTCAATTATTGCTTGAGATATACAATTGAAACTTACAATACTTATTTATAGTAACAATGTACATCAGATTGACAAGTTGGATAACTCTGCCTACCATATTGACAGAATTATGCCCCTTTGGAACTTAGAAATTTTGGTTAAAGTTTTTTGTAAAGTCAAATATCTCAATTATTGCTTGAGATAATCAATTGAAATTTAAAATACTTATTTATAGTAACAATGTACATCAGTTTGCAAAATTGCATAACTCTGTCTGCAATATTTGCAGAATTATTTACCCCTTTAAAACTTAGAAATTTTGGTTAAAGGTTAACGGTCTTCAAAGATATTTACTTGAAACTTTACACATGCACTTAGGGTCATAATTGGAGGGTCATAATTGTATGTCACTGACCAAGTTCCATAACTCTATCTTGCATTAAGGCTGATTCATATCCCCTTTTCTACTTAGTCTCTTGGTTAATGTTTACATGCAAGTTTTACATATCTCAATAACTATTAAAGATATTTATTTAAAACTTCACATATGTATTTAGGGTCATAATTGTAGGTCACTGACAAAGATCCATAATTCTATCTTGCATTTAGGCTGATTTTTCTCCCCTTTTTCAACTTAGAAATTCATGATAAAGTTTTGCTTGTAAGCTGTTATCTCAATAACTACTGAAGGGTTTGTGCCTTTTTTTGGACAATTTTATGCATTCATAATAATAAAGTGGTGATTTACTTGATAAAACATCTTAATAACAAGCCTTTGTACCTTTTCTGTCAAATTAATGTATTCATAGGTAATTAGTATTATTATACTCAATAAAAAACCCTTGTGACATTACCTTCCGAATAGTCAACCCAATTCTGTATAATTAGACTCTCTCTAAGGCCTATAACATGAATTTATAAAAAAAAATTAGCCCTTTTGTGAACTTAAAAAATTTAACAATATCAAGGCTCTTTTACTATCAAGCACTTAGAATAGTCGAGCATGCTGTCCTACAGACAGCTCTTGTATGCTCACTGGTTCATAGGGCAATGTTTACCAGCTATAATTTTATGCTCACTGGTTCATAGGGCAATGTTTACCAGCTTTGATTTTATGCTCACTGGTTCATAGGGCAATATTTACCAGCTATAATTTTATGCTCACTAGTTCATAGGGCAATGTTTACTTGCTTTGATTTTATGCTCACTGGTTCATAGGGCAATATTTACTTGCTGTAATTTTATGCTCACAGTTCATAGGGCAATGTTGACTTGTATTTTATTGTCATCATTTTCTGCTTTATCATCTTTTACCTAATCAATGCTTAACAATTTGTCATCAAGAATAGGCTAGGCCATTGTTTGTTATAAATAGGTTATTGACTAGGTTTGCTTATAACCTTATGTCATTGTTCAAAGGTCAAGGTAAAGGTCAATGTCACATATTCGGTTTGAAGATGAAAGCCTTAGCTTGATATTAAATGTTTGAAAATGGTTTGCTTAATATGTTGTGCTGTAGAATATTTTAATTTTTATATTTAAAACAAACAAGCTTATTCCATGTATTGTATTTTGCTTTAGAGGTAATTCATTTCTTCTGATGTTATAGCCACTCTCTTCTGCTTTAAAGACATTTAAACTAAACTTTGATATCTTTACATCATGGGCATCCGTGGTCGAGTGGTTAAGGTCGTTGACTTCAAACCAATTGCCCCTCACCACTGTGGGTTTGAATTCTGACAGGGACTTGGATTCTTTCATTTGAGGAAGCTATCCAACTAGCTTACAGAATGTGGGTGGTTCTACTCAGGTGCCCGTTCGTGCCTGAAATAATGCTGGGAAGGGCACCGGAGGTCTTCCTCCACCAGTAAAGCTGGAATGTCGCCATATGACCTATACTGTGCTGGTGTGACTTTAAACCCAATCAAGCAAACAAACATCTTTACTGTAATGAACTTATGTACACATTTGTCCTTGTTTATTATCAAAATTTTCACTATTTGTAATACAAAGAAGACAGTTTTATTAATGGCACTCATTTGAATCTTTATAGAAATACCATAGAGAAACTATACTGATTTTTTTTACCAATTTCTAGCTGTAGGTTTTAATCAGATATTTGCTTCGTTTTAGGGAAGTGAAAGTGAAACGGTAATTTTCCTCAGTATTTTTTTAATGTCTGCATTTTTGAATACTTAAACCCCCTTATCCCTCCTTTTTCTTTACCATATTTTCATCAGCTGAAATACCAAAAGATAGATAGACGTAACCATATTTTGTTATACAACAGAAAAATAAATTATTGACATCTTTATTTCATTTCAATACTGTTTTATAATAGAAATTTAATGAAGTCAGATAATTTTCTATAGTTTATTATGCAGTATTTGATACTTATAACATCTGAAAATATTTTTTTCAATACTTAAAATGTAAAAATAGATTATGGCATCTGTTAACAAGTTGCTTTAAAGAGTGATTTTCAAACTTGAATTTTGATATATATTTTTTATGTGTAAGATAATAATAAGTCAAATATACATACAGTATTTCTTTTATATGTTGAAGATGTATTGTACATGTGCTAGTTGTAAACTACTGTAACCAAAGTTTCCCACGTTCAAATCTGTGCCGAACAAACCTTTAATTGGAGTATTGTTTCATGTTGATGCCTTGTTCTTGTCAATGTCTTGTGGCTTAAATCCCTCTGTTATAATATTCAGAGTATTTCATTGATGACAAAGCTGCCCAGAGTAAGCCCAGTTCACCAGATTTCAATTGATTGACATTTTATTACCTCCCTTTATTCTGTGTATTGTGTATACATGTTCTCCTCTTTTCTGTTGATGTAAATAGTTTCAATATGTGTCCGGTAACAATAACAATGCTAAGCATTCTGTGTCTGTATTCGTATATTTCCATTACAGAATTTAATACACCAGTCATAACTTTGCTTTGCTTACCTGAGCACAAAGTTTTCAATTAAACTGTGTGAAATGGTAAAGTACAGCAAATTTGCAACTGTTTGAATGAAAATCTTGTTATGACTACTTTCAAACCTGTAATTCATGTCTTTTTAAATACAAGGCGTTACATTTATATTCAAATAAAAAGAAGTGTATACAAATGTATATATACAAGTAATGTATATAATATATGGCGCATTGTTTTCAGGAGATATATAGAATACAGTTTCTCACAAATACAGTGGCCAATGTGTAACATAATATCATGCATGAATATTTGTCACTGATTTATTTCAATGTAGGGTTAACTGCAGGAATAGCCCTCTAAACAGTATTACAGTCATGTGGTGGAAAATATAGTTACAGGTTAACTAAACTGTTATCACAGTTGAGAAATTCTTACTTATGTTAACTATATGGTGAAGATGAATCTAGTTTGGTAATTATAATCAACTAATCTCTTAAAAAATCCTAAAATTAATTAAAAAAACTGTTGTTAATTCCACTTATATTTATATTTTAATGTTTTTGTAGGATGAGGCTTGGAAAACTTATTTTGATGAACCTGCGCAAGAAATAGTGGATGAGTTTGCAATGCGTTATGGGATAGAATCAATATACCAAGCTATGACGTAAGTTTTTATGGTATATAATCAGGTTACTAAGCCATGACGTAAGTTATTGTTCACAATGAATAATGGGAAAGAATTAGTGTACCAAACAATAAAGAAAGTTATTGTTTTTAATGCGTTACGGGCTAGAATGTATATACTGAGGGATGACATAAGAAAGTATTTGCATTGCATTATGGGCTAGAATCTGTATACCAATGGATGGCAGAAATAATTGTTTACAATGTGTTACTGTGAAGAAGCAGTATACCAAGTTGTGAAGTAAATTTCGTTTGCATAGAATTGATATACCAAACTATGATGTACATTTAATGTAATGATATACTATATCTGAACCTAAAGCAAACAGGGATCATGCATAGTGTCATCCACCTTCCTGTATGAAGGATGAATATTTTACTTCAAGAAATAACCATAAAGTAATGTTTAAAACTTTTAACATTCGAGTAAATATAATTCATATTGGTTAATATTGTGCAAACTTAAAATCCTTGATAATATTATTATTGCAGGCATTTTTCATGTTTATCCACTAAGTACATGTGTCCTGGAGTGCCTGCGGTGATGAGTACGTTACTAGCAAACATTAATGCCTTTTATGCACACACTACCGCTACCACTGCGGCCGTGTCAGCTAGTGATAGGTTTGCAGCCTCGAATTTTGGTGTAAGTTTACATCTTCTACTATTTTCCATCAGTTTATCATCTAAGTATTGTGTTGATTAGTAAGTTGAGGATAATTAAATGTCACAGTTCAGAACTGTTTTCTATTTAGTGGAGAAAATGTGTAAGTGACTGGACAGCTCAGTCGGTAGAGCGGCAGTAAGATATTCCAGGGGTCCCAGTTTGGAGTCCTAGTCAGGCTGCACATTTTTCTCACCCTGTGATATAAATTTTATGAAAGAAAAACAACAAATAAAATAAATTTTATACTGAAGACATGTTTTATGAGGGTGCATTTTGTTGCCTCATTTCTCATATATTCAAACTACAGTCTAACCCCGTTTATTCGAAGTGACTGGGACTTAATATTTACTTCGAATAATCGATGGGTTCGAATAATCGAAATCGGAATATTGTGATAGACGAAAACTACTCCACTTTGACCAATCACCGCAAAACTACCGTTAAAACACACTTTTTCATGTAATCAATTGAGAAAAATAGATATTAAAGAAAAGATGCGTAAAAATTATTGTTTTGACACTTAGGACATAAATACTTGCATTTTATTCTACATAATGTATCGTTTCGTTTCGCGCAAAGCCTTGATAATGGCCGTGTCGTCACTACGGTATTTACAGCTAAACTCTGGTATTTTCGATTAGGATAAATTAAGGCTCTCATGTTGCGTTACAATTAATGAAAAACATGTTTTTGATTTTTTGACAAATTCACATATACGGAATGTATAAAAATTATTGCTGTCATCTTAAACAAAATCGGACACGGTGCATAGCTTTTCATTTTCGTTAATTAAAGTTGATTAAAGAACACACGAAGTGTTATTATCATGATTTTCTAATTACACGCATGACTGTGGATATTTTTCACAAGTCGACTGGTCAGCGAGTGGATCTGCGTCAATTAGTCTAGCTTCGAATAATAATTAGGCTGGCTTCGAATAATAGGTGTGAAATTCTTTCGTTATTGTATAATCGGGACCGAAATTTTACTTCGAAAAATAGGAGGTATTCGGATAATGCATTTCGAATAATACGCTCGTAATTATATTGTTTTATATAGAGATAAAAACGGGACCGCCGATCTACTTCGGATAATGCCGGGTATTCGAATAAAGGGTGGTCGAATAACCGGGGTTGGACTGTATATTGTAGTAAAACTAGAAAATGCAAATGATTTGTATTTGCAATAGGGGGACTCTTATAACTATAATTATTTATATTACATGTCTGAAATGTCTCTTTGCAAATTTTGAAACATAGGGAGCTTCATTTTATTTTATTTTTATTACATAATTATGTATTACCTACATGTACACTGTATTTTAACATACATACCATAACATTCCGAACATTTGGGATTGTCCAAGAAATCAGGTGTCTGTCCAGGAGATGATTTATTTGTCTGTAAAATTAAAAATCTAAAAAAATCTACTTTGCTGCCAAAAATTTTACATTTTTCTGTAATCTTATTGTTAAGTTATTATTAATTATTCTGGAACACTAATAACGGAACGATTATCCCAATACAGTATAGCTACAGTAAATGTTGACCTGATCGGGAAATCACATTCTAATATGAGACATTAGATTATAATGATTGTTTTGGGTAATTTTTAGGGAGGTACTATTCACCTATTAATTACGGAAGGGCTGCAATGATTAAAAGTTTTTTTATTGACAATTTGTTTATCTTACGTAGCGGCGGCAATGATTGAAGACCATATAATGTCACCTTTGTGAAATATTGATTGTTAATAGTTCCGCTCTCTAACAGTTTGTTGTTCAGAGTAAAAACTTTCATCTTTAATATTAAATAGACTTATTACAAAAGAGTAAAAATTTAATGCTTTTAGTAACAATAGTTAATAATTATTGTAAATGATTGGTTTTGCAATCAAAGACGCACTTAATTACAGAATGGTTTAAAAAAAAATTATACACATTGGCAGAAATGAGTATAGGCGGAATAATGTCACATTCCACTCTGTCCAAAAAATGGGAGAGGAATTGTCCGCTCTGTCAAAAAACAAAACTGGACGGACATTGTCAGTTCTACCAAAATAACGGGAGAGGAATTGTCCGCCCTGTAGAATGAACGGGAGGGGAAATTCCACCCTGTAAAAATAACAGGAGGGGAATGTCCGGGTTGTGAAAATAATATAGACAGGGAATAGTCCGTGACGGGAATTGTCTGTAAACCGGAGAGGGAAGGGAGAATGAGAATTATTATCTAACTTTTAACATAATGTTTTTACAAAATAAAGAATAAAATTTTAGTAGAATTTTTTCATCACAACTTTTCATTAATCTGTCAATTTTAAAAATATTGGGATGAATATAAAAACTGAGAAGAAGAGATATACGTCTAATGTACATTTAAACAAGTAGTGAAATTCATCAACAATAGCTTGATACAGACATAAGATACAGAGCCTATTACACTGTAGCCTCGATAACTCGCTCTTCATTATAACGCTAATCTCAGTAGAGCGCTCATAGACCTTGGCTCCCCCAAAAAAAAAAAAAAAAAAAAAAAAAAACTTCCCCCCAAAAAAAAATAATTTTTTATTTCAAGTAGACTTAGATTTATAGCACGCTATAACGCTTGCCCAATTTGACAGTCAAGTACAATAAACAATTGTTATTAGGACATTTATGAGCGCCAAAGGTGTGAAAAACATGCCCAGGTAAGCGTTTATCCGCTCTTTTGTTGTTTTACCTGTCTTCAAATTGTTTCCAAAATCTCAAATTCATATCAGAACTGTGACATTGGCAACCGGTGGGGAGTATAAATAAAGTAAAATTCACACACATAGCTTTGACATGTAAACCTTGCTGAATTAAATAACCCACAAGCCAAAAATCAATTTAAAATCCTGCACTGTAAATAGAGCGGCCATGACAGGAAGTAATTGGCCTTTGATTTACTAGGGGACACAACTAAAGCTGGACTGTAAATTACAGTGTTATTTACAGTCCAGCTTTAGTTGTGTCCCCTAGTTAATCAAACGTCATTACAGTAATGGCTGTTTACACTACATTCATGATTTATAATTTTCTTTCGAAAGTTTTTCGTTTCTTTTAAATATAATTAGTATTATTTGTGAATATAATATATGTTTACATCATTGAATGGTTTTAGAAAAAGATAATGTCAATATTCATTGAACAGTAAGTATAAAAAATCAGCGTTATATATATGTATGTGGTGGGTGGGGTAATGCGGAAATTTCGCAATGAGCGTTCTAATGAGAGCCTCGTTAGAACGCGGTGTTGAGACATTGGACCCCAACATGAGCGTTTTAATGAGGCTGAAGTGTATTATGATCAATTGCCAAATTTCAATTGGTAATAGGTGATTCATTGTTCTAAATTTACATAAATATTTGCCTATGTCAAATTTAAGTACATGTACATCTAGATATTTTTCAAAACAATGAGTATTTTATATGTAAGATACACTAAGCACTTAGAAGATGCATCAATAGTACTATGGCAATCTTGTAAAAATTGATCATGTAGTCTAAGCTTCAAAAGTGATTTATATTATCTACTTTCTGTAGATGAAAATATTCTGACACACCAAGATAATTAAGCGTTTCTTTCACAAATGTTATCCATTTAGAAATAACAATATTTCTAGAGGACAAAGACAACATTGTTTTATACAGAAGTTTACATATCTTATTTTTCCTAGCCTTAACAATTTTACTCCAGAAACACAAAACTCTTGCTTTCACATGTGGGACTAATTGAAATATGCCTAATTCATCATAAATCATACAATTAGGCATAGAAGCTTTTAAATTCAAAATAGACTTACAAAAATACAATTGAAATTTCTCTAAAATTTGAACTTGTTCAAATCCCCAAACTTCACTTCCATAAAGAAGGATAGGAACAAACCATAGAGTTAAATAAATGCAATTGCAAAGAAATTGGTAAACATAATTTACGGAACTTTTAGATCACAGAAAATATTGCTCTTTTAGTATTATCAGTAAGATTTTTTTAAAACATTTACTGTTATAATTAAAAAGTACTCCAAGGTGAGTAAAGTTATTAACTAAATCAAGCTTTTTACCATTATACATAAAAATTAAAGTCGTCCTTAGGTTTTGATTTACTAAAACCACTATTTTATCTAAGCTTTATTAACAACAAGATTTCATATATTAAACTCAGGGCATTTAAATCATTTTGCAGATCAGTTTTGCTTTCTGCTAAAAGTACTGTATCATCAGCATATAACAAAAGAAACAATTTAACATAAACATTAATGACACCGTCACTAAGACATTCACGAGTTGCTTCAGAGATATTGACAAGTCCTGTGTTTTGATTAGATACAAATTCTGACAAATTGTTTAAAAAAAATAGAAATATATAACTAAAGGCACTTACTATCAATATTGTGACAAAAATTAAAGAAATCTAGTAACAGAATCAAACGCCTTCCTATAGTCAACAAAATTAATGGCAGTAAAGTTTTTTATTACAACTTAAATGATAATCAATTAACATTTTTAAGGAAAACATATGATCAGTGGACAGTGGTACCATATTGTGATCTGAACCCAGCTTGTTCTTCGTTAAGTAAATTGTGACATTCCAAATACTCATTTTGTCTATTATTTAGTATATTGGTAAACAATTTGCCAAAACAACTTAATATGGTAATCTCTCTATAATTGTTGGGATCAGATTTGCCACCCTTACCGTATTTTTAGCTCACCTGTCACAAAGTGACAGGGTGAGCTTTTGTGATCGCTTTTCGTCCGGCGTCCGTCCGGCGTCCGTCCGACCGGCATCCGTCCGGAAACTTTTACTTTAAATGACATCTCCTCATAAACCACTAAGCCAATTTCATCCAAACTTCACAGGAATGTTCCTTTGGTGGTCACCTTTAAAAATTGTTCAAAGAATTTAATTCCATGTAGAACTCTGGTTGCCATGGCAACCGAAAGAAAAAACTTTAAATATCTTCAAACCATAAGAGCTAGAGCTTAGATATTTGGCATGAAACATCTTCTAGTGAGTGTCTACCAAGTTTGTTCAAATAAAAGCCCTGGGGTCAAAATTGGCCTCGCCCGGGGGGGTCATTGATTTTCCCTATATGCATATAGTAAAAACTTAAAAAATCTTCTTTTAAAGAACCAAAAGAGCTACAGCTAAGATATTTAGCATGAAACATGTTCTAATAGGTGTCTGCCAAGTTTGTTCAAATAAAAGCCCTGGGGTCAAAATTGGCCCCGCCCCAGGGGGGTCATTGATTTCCCTATATGCATATAGTAAAAACTTAAAAAATCTTCTTTTAAAGAACTCAAAGGGCTATGGCTAAGATATTTAGCATCAAACATGTTCTAATAGGTGTCTACCAAGTTTGTTCAAATAAAAGCCCTGGGGTCAAAATTTGCCCGGCCCCAGGGGGGTCATTGATTTTCCCTATATGCATAAAGTAAAAACTTAAAAAATCTTCTTTTAAAGAACCAAAAGAGTTAAAGCTAAGATATTTAGCATGAAACATGTTCTAATAAGTGTCTACCAAGTTTGTTCAAATAAAAGCCCTGGGGTCAAAATTGGCCCCGCCCGGGGGGTCATTGATTTTCCCTATATGCATATAGTAAAAACTTAAAAAATCTTCTTTTAAAGAACCCAAAGAGCTAGAGCTAAGATTTTTAGCATGAAACATGTTCTAATAGGTGTCTACCAAGTTTGTTCAAATAAAAGCCCTGGGGTCAAAATTGGCCCCGCCCCGGGGGGTCATTGATTTTCCCTATATGAATATAGTAAAAACTTAAGAAATCTTCTTTTAAAGAACCAAAAGAGCTAGAGCTAAGATATTTAGCATGAAACATCTTCTAATGGGTGTCTACCAAGTTTGTTCAAATAAAAGCCCTGGGGGTCAAAATTGGCCCTGCCCCGGGGGGTCATTGATTTTCCCTATATGCATATAATAAAAACTTAAAAAATCTTCTTTTAAAGAACTCAAAGAGCTATGGCTAAGATATTGAGCATCAAACATGTTCTAATAGGTGTCTACCAAGTTTGTTCAAATAAAAGCCCTGGGGTCAAAATTGGCCCCGCCCCAGGGGGTCATTGATTTTCCCTATATGCATATAGTAAAAACTTAAAAAATCTTCTTTTAAAGAACCAAAAGAGTTAAAGCTAAGATATTTAGCATGAAACCTGTTCTAATAAGTGTCTACCAAGTTTGTTCAAATAAAAGCCCTGGGGTCAAAATTGGCCCCGCCCCAGGGGATCATTGATTTTCCCTATATGCATAAAGTAAAAACTTAAAAAATCTTCTTTTAAAGAACTCAAAGAGCTATGGCTAAGATATTTAGCATCAAACATGTTTTCTAATCGGGGGGTCATTGATTTTCCCTATATATAGCATAAAGTTTAAAAATCTTAAAGATTTTAAAGAACCAAAAAACATAAGATATTTCATGTTCTAATTGTCTGCCAAGTTTGTTCAAAAAAAGCTTGGGGTCAAGAATTGGCCCCGCCCCAGGGGGTCAAGAGTGCCCAAAAAAAGCTCCATTGGGCTTAAAATTGGCCCTAGCAACGTTGGGCGGGGTGGGCGGTTGGGGGGCCTATATACAGGTGAGCGACCTCAGGGCCCAATCATGGGCCTCTTTGTTATATATGGGGATTAATTTAATACCCTGGACGTCAAATATCGGGGAAAAATATTGAATCCAAAAAATAACGTTAAACAATAAACAAATAACATTTAAAACAGACGCATTATTAACATTTTTTAGATATTCATTTAATTATTATCAAACACTGAAAGACTTTTATTATTTTTTTAACTTTTTAACACCTTTTTTAATTTCCGCAAAATAGTTTTTTCTGCATTTAAGAAACTATTATTACAACTTAGATTTTCATGATCTAAATCATTTAAATTGTCAATATCTAGATCAGACTCATTCAGTTCAACAAAATGTTCAAAAAAGACTTCTTTTGAAATATTATTTATAGTATCCCTGCTGTTAGTGCGGTATCTATTTAACAAACACCAAAAAGCTTTTGGGTCCGACTACTTTAACCCAAGTATCTGTTTATTAATATTATCTTGATAAGACTTAATTTTCTTGTTTATCATCATTTTATATGATTTTCCACTAGACACCATTGATTTGAAATTAGTATCAGTCTTACTTCTTCTATAATAATTATACCCCCGCACAACAAAGTTGTAAGGGGGGTATACTGGAATCAGCTTGTCCGTCCGTCCGTCCGGCTGTCCGTCCGGCCGGCCGTCCGTCGGTTTTTTCTTGTCCGCCCTATAACTTAAGATTCCTTTGACCCTTAGTCTTCATATCTGGCATGGAGGTTAGTCATGATTAGTAGATGACCCCTATTGATTTTGAGGTCACTAGGTCAAAGGTCAAGTCACAGGGGCCTTGACTTCAAAAAGCTTGTCCGCCCAATAACTTAAGATTCCTTTGACCTACAGTCGTCATATTTGGCATGGAGGTTAGTCATGATTAGTAGATGACCCCTATTGATTTTGAGGTCACTAGGTCAAAGGTCAAGGTCACAGGGGCCTTGACTTCAAAAAGCTTGTCCGCCCAATAACTTAAGATTCCTTTGACCCACAGTCGTCATATTTGGCATGGAGGTTAGTCATGATTAGTAGATGACCCCTATTGATTTTGAGGTCACCAGGTCAAAGGTCAAGGTCACAGGGGCCTTGACTTCAAAAAGCCTTGTCCGCCCAATAACTTTAAGATTCCTTTGACCCCACAGTCGTCATATTTGGCATGGAGGTTAGTCATGATTAGTAGATGACCCCCTATTGACTTTGAGGTCACCAGGTCAAAGGTCAAGGTCACAGGGGTCTTGACTTCAAAAAGCTTGTCCGCCCTATAACTTAAGATTCCTTTGACCCACAGTCTTCATATTTGGCATTGAGGTTAGTCGTGATTAGTAGATGACCCCTATTGACTTTGAGGTCACCAGGTCAAAGGTCAAGGTCACAGGGGCCTTTACTTCAAAAAGCTTGTCCGCCCTATAACTTAAGATTCCTATGACCCACAGTCTTCATATTTGGAATGGAGGTTAGTCGTGATTAGTAGATGACCCCTATTGACTTTGAGGTCACCAGGTCAAAGGTCAAGGTCACAGGGGCCTTTACTTCAAAAAGCTTGTCCGCCCTATAACTTAAGATTCCTATGACCCACAGTCTTCATATTTGGAATGGAGGTTAGTCATGATTAGTAGATGACCCCTATTGATTTTGTGGTCACCAGGTCAAAGGTCAAGGTCACAGGGGCCTTGACTTCAAAAAGCTTGTCCGCCCAATAACTTAAGATTCCTATGACCCACAGTCTTCATATTTGGAATGGAGGTTAGTCATGATTAGTAGATGACCCCTTTTGATTTTGAGGTCACTGGATCAAAGGTCAAGGTCATAGGGACTTTGACTTCAAAAAGTTTGTCCACCCATTAACTTAAGATTCCTTTGACCCACAGTCTTCAAATTTGGCATGGATGTTGATCATGACTATAAGGTGACCCCTATTGATTTTGAGGTCACTGGGTCAAAGTTCAAGGTCACAGGGACCTTGACAAAAAAAAAGCTTTTCTTCTCAATTGCTAAAGAATGTCCTGTCTGCAATGTATTGATTTTGACATTTTCACATTTGAAGCATGTAGAATACATAACTTAGCAATGCACTGGCTTAGTAACCTCAGATTTGGCAGGGAGGTTGTCCTTGCGCTCTAAATGGCCACTGTTGATTCTGACAAAGTGGTATGCGTGGGGTATTCACGCCAAGATAGTGGCAGTTCTAGTTTTTATCTGACAAGTATGTTCTTCTTGCTACTTTACAATCATCATCAAACCACTATTTCCTATGTGATTTCTTACCCCTTTTAGTACTTTTTTGTACAGTATTTTTAACATCAGTAATCAAGTGACAGTTATCAGCAGCATTATAAAATAGTTGAGAAACTTTCTCAGTAAAGTTATTAACAGCATTGTCACAATAAGTTTTACTTGTCAATAATTCTGAGAGTTCTACTTGTAATACAGAAACACTGTCTAAATCAAAACACATTGTTTTTGTCTTGTTTATTTTGTCATTAAATTTGCAAGTTGTAGTTACCGGTAATATAGGTTGTATGCCACTATGTAAATTTGAGAAACAATTTGGTTGCTGATCAAGGCATCCCCCCACCACCACAATGAAAAATGTCCCGGAAATTAGCCAAAAAATTATGGCATGTATGATTTTAATGAACTTTAATTTGGATCAGTACCAATGAAAAAGTTATATATAAATTACATGGTATATTCATTTTTGTAAATGTAGTAAAACATTCAAATTCTTGTATAATAAAGAATGTGTGGCTATTGTAAAACTGTTGAAGCTTCCAGTTAAACTAAATGTCACATGACTTAAAGTCTGTCAGTATAAAATCTGACTTCAGTTCAGATCCCCATATTTCTTACAGCCTAGTTTTTGGAATAAGATTGATATGACAAGCATTTGAGCCGCGTCACGACAAAACCAACATAGTGTGTTTGCGATCAGCATGGATCTAGACCAGACTGCGCGGATGTTTGCGACCAGCATGGATCTAGACCAGACTGCGCATCCGCTCATTCTGATCAGGATCCATGCTGTTCGCTTTCAGTTTCTCTACTTGTAATAGGGTTGGTAAGCGAACAGCATGGATCCTGATCAGACTGCTAGGATGCGCAGGCTGGTCTGGATCCATGCTGGTCACAAACAAACTATGTTGGTTTTGTTGTGACGCGGCTCATTTAAAGTAATAGAAATATGATATTGGTGATATAAAAACTAGATTTATATTGATTTTTATTGATGAATGATTATACATTTCAGAAAGAGAAGTTTGTTAAGTTGCTGGATCAGTTACATAACTCATTGAGGATTGATTTATCAATGTATAGGGTATGTGATAGAAATCTAATCCTAATATGTAGCTTTTCATTGGATTATCGTGACTTTTATATATATATATTTATTCATGCCTCAGTTTATGAGGAAATCTCATTTTCTTTCCTCTAAAAAAGGAAGTTTGCTGTATTATTGTAAATTTGTAATAAAAGCTGTCACAAATCTTTATAACTAGTAATGAACAGATCCATGTAATCATTATAGAAAAGCCAGCTCCTGTGTCTGTCTTCTCTGACCAGTCTATATACTGTTAGCATCTTAATGTTTGCATTCTTCCCTTTTATTTACAATGGACAGTTCTACATTCAAAGACAGGACACAAATGTAGGGATGTATAGGTTAAAACTTTGTGTTCATATATAGCAAGATTTCCAGTATATTTAGATCAACAATTTTATGGTAGAAAAAATTATGGAGGTATGATAGAAATACTAATTTCTAAAATACTATCAACTTGAGTCAAATAGATTGTTTGTTATTCTGTGCATTTAAGATGTGTTTGGAGAGTGTATTACAATCTGCTGAAACATTAGGTAGTTATTATTTTGATATCATTTTATACTATGTGCATTTTGGTTTTCATTTTACAGAATAATTTCCCGGCATCTGATCCAACTCGCCTACAAGACCTGAAATCAACTGTAGATCTTCTAACCAGTATAACATTCTTCAGAATGAAGGTACATTAAGTTTTCATTAAAGTGTTTTAAATAGGTATACATAATAATCTTATTATACTGTTGGAGTAAGGAAAGATTTTGAAGGGATCTTTTGTTTTGTATTTGGTCACTTTTAGAATGATAGAAATTTTATTGTATTATGGGAAGAATCTTAGTCTGGTTATTGAAACACGTAGCTTTGATCACTTTGTGAGATATGTGTTTGGATACCCCTGTACACATATTTAACAACAAAATTAGTAAATTAGCTTAAAGGTTTGTTAACGTTTACATTTATCTTTTTTTGTTGCTGATACAAATACTCAGTTTTTTTATGTGTATATGAAATATGTGTATTTGAAATAATTACGAAACTGAATATTTCCATATAAAAATGAAGAAACCCTACTAAGCCCTGCTGACTGAATTTTAAAGGGAAATAAAAAAAGGTATAGTTTTGACAGTCATATAGGTCCTGCATTGATGATATCTATATTGATATGTATTTATATGACTATCTTTTCCAGGTACAAGAGCTTACAAGTCCACCTCGGGCCAGTGCTGTTGTCAAAGACTGTGTGATAGCCTGTATGAAATCCACTTATCAATTTCTGTTTGATAACTGCTGCGACTTGTACCGACGTGAGTTCCAGGTAGAAACAAAAGATGACCAGGAAAATACAGAACAAGATGGTCCTAGTACAAAGAACTTAGATTTCTGGCATAAATTGATAGCTCTTATAGTTTCTGTGATAGAGGAGGACCGTAACAGTTACACGCCAGTACTGAACCAGTTCCCGCAGGATTTAAACGTAGGTCAGGTCAGTGCTGGTATGATGTGGGACCTGTTTGCCCAGGATCTTAACTATGCTCTCCAAGGTTAGTGTATAACTATAGCCTCTTTACTTACTCATTAATTTGCCGAGTTTTCTTAATGGATTTTACCTTAATTGAATTTTGAACAGTCAGTTCAAGTTAAAAGAATTTCAATATCAATTACAAAAATTGATCAAATAATTAGAATCTAGTGACCAAACTGCACTGATTGCAAACGTTTATCACTGGCAAATTTTAGCAGATATTATGTACAGCTTACAAAAATAAAGATATTTTGAGTCTTGAGACAATTTTGAGGTTGTGATAATGAAATATTTATTATACTTCTTTACATGTATGTACATTTTAATTTCTCATTTTTTCATCCTGCCAGGTTAGCATCTATCAGTCAGTGAAAATTCCCATAGCAACAAATGTGATACATTTGTATGGATTATGGATTTTGTCATGTATTAGGCCAGCAACATTTAAAGATAAAAAAGTATTGTGTAATTTGTTATATGAAATAGAATAGAGATATAAATAAATAGATGAGATGTTTATTTTTAGAACATGAGAAGACAAAGACATGTAAGAGTACAGATTATATGAACTTACACTTTAAAGTGAAATGGTTATACAGTAAATATATAGCAGAAATACCACAATTCAAAAACACTGTGCCAGAATACCCTGCGTAAGTACTTTATTCTGTCTTCTTTTATTTATAAACAAACTTTTACAAGTTAAATTTTCACAGAATTATTGCAGCTAGTGCTCTGGTGCTGACTTGACTTCACTTGACTTGTCAGGATTTTGTGAATTGATCATTTTGGAAGAATTTTGGCCTTTTGTTGTCTCTTCACATAATTATGTTATTTTGGCAGAAAGCCTGGTTCAAAAACTAAGCATACAAAATCTAGCTATTCTTTGCTGATACATTTGTGATACAAACAATCATTGCCAATTTTAACTTTAAAACTTTGAAAGTATACAGGAGAGGGAAGGAAGCAGAAAGAAAGGAAGGAAGAACAAATTGACAGTTATAACTATATCAAAAAATCAGGAAATATAAAAATAGCATGTTAAAAAACCTTACTTATTTACTTACTTAATGATTAAAAAATAATATATCTGTTTTGTTTACTTGACAGATTGTTCGAGCCTTTTGTAATGCAGTGGTTAAATGAAAATGATGATGTATCCATGGATTATCTCCACGGCGCTTATGTACGCGATAAACGAGATGGCGTAAGTTATGTTTATTTAATTTTTCATCTCCTTGATGGATAAAATTGTTTAGTCTTGCTTCAGGATGTGGTATTATTTTAATATAAGCAAGGGATATCAATTAGTTAGATCTATGGTATAAAAAAATGCTACAATGCTACTATTTTATACTCATAATCTGGCTTTATATATTTTTAAATCCTTTCTAATGAGGATTCAAGTCACCTAGCAAAACCTTTGTGGTTCTATTCAGGTGCCTGTTTATGCCTGAAATAATGAATGGAGGAGAACATGAGATCTTCCTCCACCAGTGAAGCTGGAGAGTTGTTATGTAATCTTTATGGTGCAAGTATGACTTAATTCCCAACCCAAAAAAATATTTAAAAAATATCATTAAGTAAGATGTTGTAACTGTTAATGTGCCATCTCATTGCTGTATATTTTTCAAACAGTTTCAAAAGAGTTCTGAGCATGCACTGTTCTCAACGAGTGTAGTAGATGTGTTTACTCAGTTAAACCAATGTTTTGATGTGATACGTAAATTGGAATGTCCTGATCCACAGATGCTCAAAAGATGTATGGAACGATTTGCTAATGTAAGTATATGTATGAAAGTAATGTATGTTGTTCTTGTAGTGATGTCAAACTGATGTATGAAATAAAACTTCTCTATCTCGACAAATGTGTGCTAATTTACTGATTGGTTTTTGTTGACAAATGATCATTGCAGGGATTTTTTTTTGGCTTATTTTATAGCCCAAATTCAGTCATATTCCCAATTGAAAATAGTTTTATTATTTTCCCAATCAACAGGAAAAAATTCCCAATTGAAAGTTACAAAATGAAAATATTGAATAACAAAATGTAAAAACTTTGAAAATAAGGGCTTCTTCACTGTAATGGTGCTTAAGATGTTGTCATGAAATTTTTCCCAATTTTTAACAAAACATGCTGAAATTCCCAATTCCATGGCATGGGTCATGTTCCCAAAATCCTGGAAAATAACCCTGCATTGTTACCAAATAGTCTTAACTTGAGCCTTCCAAAGAAAAGCTACATGTAGTATTGCACTGGATGTGATTTATAAGGACACATTTATGTTGACCTAATGTTACAAGATTTCTGTATGTGATCTTTATTATAAAGTGGTTTTTGGCACAGGTTACATCTGTTTTGAAAATTAGCCAGTAGTTTTAGAGTCTGACTGTACAGACATGTACAAACTTTTGTATAATTTCTTGTAAGGTAGCTGTCTGGTTCTTCAGTGTCTGTTTGTGTATAAAATACAGATAATAAATACAAAAAAGCACTGAGATCCTGGAAAATGGCAATTTGACCTTCACAATGTCATTGTGACTTAAGATAGAGAAAAACTGACTACCCAAAGAAAGCCCAAAACTGCAAGTTTCATCTGAGTGAGCCAAATTGGTAAATTATACAATAAAAACAGATTTTTTAGAGAAATTGTTTGAGCCACGTCACGACAAAACCAACATGGTGGGTTTGTGACCAGCATGGATCCAGACCAGCCTGCGCATCCGCACAGTCTGATCAGGATCCATGCTGTTCGCTTACCAACTCTATTACAAGTGGAGAAACTGACAGCGAACAGCAAGGATCCTGATCAGATTGCGCGGATGCGCAGGCTGGTCTGGATCCATGCTGGTCGCAAACGCACTATGTTGGTTTTGTCGTGACGCGGATCATACGAATTTTTATTGCTTTTGTTTTAGACTGTAAACAAGGTGCTGGTAGCTTATGCTGATATTGTCAGGAGAGATTTCAAAGAATATACAGGTCATCAAAAAGTGGTATGTATGATAACTTGTTGCAATGGCAACTCCAAATATATCAGATTTATCTGCTTTGTCACATATCAGAATAAATTTACAGGAGTTTGTAACCAGAAATTTACTCCATTTTGTTGATGTAAATTATTTAGTAAAGTATTTAGTACTGGTAGTGTATGTGTAAATTCAAACTAATAAACTAATTGTGTTTCCCTTTATGCCTTCTCCTTATTATGTTTTTGTGTTGCAGGCTTGTATATTAATGAACAACATCCAGCAATTGAGGGTTCAGCTAGAAAAAGTGTTTGAATCAATGGGTGGAGAGAAGGTATAAAGTTATCTAGTATTTTCTTTGAACTTAGAAATAGCATTGCAGGTTTTTGTTATGACAAATTCCAGTTGTCCTTTGCATTGTTAGTATGAGCAATCAAAATATTAGAGCAGCCAAGTACACAGAGCCGTGTAGACTGGCGGCCAGGTTTGAACTGCTGCCATAGGTTTGTTGTTGTTTTGTTTTACTTTTGTATATAAGTTATGAAAACTAAGTTTACATTTTGTTCATATCATGTAAACTACTGTAAAATGTCTAATTATGGCTAATGTTAGATAATTTTAACAGTTTGCTTCAGAACACAAAAGTTCAGACATTGTTTTGCAAGAAAATGAAATAGTTTAGGAAGTTTTTATTGACATAAAACAGCTCCAGTTAGTTAATTAATGTCAATTTTGAGAATAATATATAACACCAAGTACCGGTACTAAGACCATGTTAACTTTATATTTGAACAGCTGGATGTTGAAGCAGCAAATATTCTTAAAGAATTGCAGCAGAAGTTAAATAGTGTCCTAGATGAGCTCAGTACAATTTTTGCCAAATCTCTGGAACCTCAGATTCAGCAGAGTATGCAGGAGTTAGGGGCCCTGCTGTCCAAGGTGAAGGGCGCAGGCCAGGTGTCACTGTCACAGCCCAGTCAGAGAACCAATATACAACAGGAGAGCGATATGGTCTTACGTCCACTCATAGACCTATTGGATGGCAGGTTAGTGCATGATGGGACAAATGTTCAGTGGAATGTTGACTCAGAGTCCCAAATAGTGATTAATATAAGTTGCAAGAACTTGTTACGCAGTCAAGCTTAAATTAATAAATTTAAAAACTAAATGTGGAATATATGTAACCCCCTTCCAATAACATAATTAGCGGAAGATACTAGTTGTTTTGAATTGATATGTTACTGTTCCACATATATTTGTACATAACATTGATATAAAATATTAATTTATATTAACATTCTGTCCAATAAAATTTTGAAATTTTATGACAAGTGCATGATATGAATGATACTCTTATAAAATAACTTGATTTTTGTAGATGTTTGATTGACTTATGAACATTGCTAATAGCATGATTGTCAATATAGCATGAAAGTTTGAATGAACCAGAGTCATCTGATAATTTAGTGAGAGTAGATCAAAGTTTGTTTTATGCCAGAAAAAGATGAATACTTTTAAAATATTAAGAATTAATTATCATAGACAAGAATTTGTAAGGATGTATAACATTAAGCTGACTGCTGAGCTGGTTTGTTTCAACTTGATTTACTAACATAAATGATACTAACAGATTGTGCTTGTGATATTATTGCAGCTTGTCAATGTTTGCTCAAGTCTGTGAGAAGACAGTACTCAAACGCTTGCTCAAGGTATACTTTTTTCTAATATATATAATTATATTACAGAGTAGCTCTTGCTTACAAGATCTTGTGCTTCTTTATATCTTTAACTAAGTAAGGTACTTTAAATGTTACTCCTGGTAGGGAATCAGACATTACTGGTAAAATAATTCAGTTACCAAGATATAAATAAATTGCATTAAAAAATGTGTTAAAGAAAAAGCTTAATATAAATACCTTACGTTAGGTGTTTAGTGCCAGGTCATAAAAGTTTATTCAGTCAAATACCATTTGACATTTGCATGACATGTGTTCTCCAATTCTGTACCAATTCCTCTGTATCTACTATTTTAACTACCAACTTTGTATAAATTGCTTGAAACAGTGTTCGAGAATTAATGGTGTTTTGAATATTATTATATTTTCAATCAAGCTATCCCTGGAAACTGCTTGCTATGCCAAAACTATACAAGCTTGCTTGACTTGATGTCATAGCAGTATAGGTCTTTTATCATCACTGTGATTGCTCAAAGAAATAAAACATAAAATTCATGTTTACACAATACTCTAAGTGCTTAACAAACAAGGCATGTTAATCAATTGAAGACTGATTTTTCATAATTGTATTGCTGTTAATGGTATAAGAGATATAGTAATCCCCATTGGTACTGTGACCTGACTAATATCGCGGTAACCAAACATCTGTCTATTTGCATATGTAGCTCCACCTATAAACATGTCAGATTTACCTAAATAATATTGTATTTTTATTATTAATTTAAACTTTTATGGACATGTATACTTGAAAGTAAAGATACAACAGTTAATACCAATACAATAAGTCAGTGAAAGAAGAGTCTTTTCATTATTACAAATTAAGGAACATATTGAAATTTGTGGTACTAATGTTAAAGGACACCACCCTATGTAAAGCTTATGGTATGAGCTATAATGGTATAATGTTGATAGAAGTATACAATGTATATTGTTGTTAATAGATACATATCATTGATATATATTTCAGGAACTATGGAGGATAGTAATGTATACAATGGAGAAGACAGTGGTTCTGCCCCCACTATCTGATCCTAGACAGGTAATTTATATACAACACTTTATAACTTATATACCAGTACATTATAAAATACAAGACATTCTCGCACAAATTCTGCAGTCATTTGTTACATACATTTTTCATATAATCTGTTTTTATACTATTGTACATACTGTATATTGATAGAGGTATTAAAGCCTTATGTTGCTGAATGTATATACTGGTGTTGCCCAGCCTGCTTTGAATCAAGAATAGTCTATTAGTTGTTTAGATGATTTCAATATCAACAAGGCTGTATTATAAATGCTGGTCAGACTGCAGACTGTTTGGATTCCATTCTTGTGTCGTTGATAGATCTATATTTTACATATTTGTATATGATACATTTAGTATTCAGGTTGTATCTTGTAAGTGTTAGACTTTTTACAGGATTTATGGAATTACAAAAGATTTTTTATATATATTTCTGGAGTTATTACACAAGATTAATATTGTTATGAAAAAAGATTTAAGTGATGAAAAGAGATGTTGGCTGTGTCTTTATAAAGGCTTTATCAATGACCAGGTTGTGGCGTTAATTGCACAATTTGTTGAACATTTTATTAGAATAAAATATTGTTTTCCTCACATATTTTACATAAAAATGTTTTATTTTCAGCAAAGTAGTGACAAGGTATTAGAAAATAATATTGAGGGTTTGAGAATGTTTTTAATCAGAACCCATATATAACATCATCTGGTTAGGGTTAACATATTAAATACAATGCAGCTTATTCAATTATCTTCCAGATCTTATGATTTTTTCTAGAGATGAGGTCAGTTAAGAAACATCTTACTCATACAAGATGAGGAATATAACAATTGTATATAACCATCTATAAATTGTGATCCGAAAGTTGCACTGTATTTTACCACTTTATTTACTAATCTGCTAATACATAAACAGTTAGCTAATAGGTTGTGATGGGGCTTGCTTTCTAAATTTCACATTTTGTTTTTCCCTTCTTTATAACACGGAACAGATTGTTTTGTTTAAGGATGTTTTCAGGAGTTATTTTCATATATACATATTTTCGATTAAAATGTTTCTGTTACTTCATATAAAGTGTATTCTAACATCATGCCAAGTTTAAAGAAATTCTATTTAACAGTTTTAGTTTTGCCTATTTGTCTATATGAAAACTCCTAAAAACGTCCTTAAGAAAAATAAATTCAACCATGTATATGTGAAAAATTAAGATTTTATTACTTCTATTGCCTCTCTTACTATGATTTTCATTGTTTCGACTTTTTGAAATCTTTGAAATAAATTAGTTTTTCTTTCACTATTTTTCTTTTCAATTTTCTGTACAGTAATACTCATGAATAGATATAAGGTATTTAACATAAACATTGGTCCTCACTGACATTTTCAAAGTAAAATGACTGTGTCATAATTTACCTTGCAGTTTTTAGCTCTTGCAGCTAAAAGGGTCCATGATGAAATGTATTTACCCAAGATCCTCTTGTTTGCAGCTGTAAGTCACATGACCAAGTCACATGACTGTTGTCATGGTAACCCAGCTTCCAGTATTTGTGATCCGGCAGAAAGTGGCTTTTATTTTATTACTTTTTTCAACTCATGATTATATACATTTTGCATATATATATATCTACATATATAACCCAGGAAAATTGACACAAAGTATAAAATTCTACAAATGTATCTTCATTAGAAACAAAGAGATGTAAGAAATATATACACAAATTGTGTCAGTTTTTCTTCTTTCCTTTGTAAATATACCCTTGGTGCAAGAATGTTTTTGGTTGTTATCAACTGTTGGTCCAAAGTTTTCATTTCAGTGCTCATGAAATACATTTTCATTATCATTTTCTTATTTTTTAATCTTGAATAAGATAGACAAGGGTCAAAATATTTGAAAATAACTGATGTCAACATACATATTTCTCAAGTAACTATAATAAAAATAAAACTATTTATTTTGTTATCAGAATTTTATATATTTCCCTCTTCCAAACTAAATCATTCTTTCTTTGTTTTATTGATGTTCTGTAATCAAAAGCTTCAAGGATTTGTTAGTCTCTTTAAAAAGTAAATGGACTGGCTTTGTGTCCATTTTTGGAACCTCCTGTTATTATCAAGATAAAAATGTTCAGTAGAAGAATCATCAGTATAGAGCCTGGCCAGGTGGCAGATATGTTCTGATCTGGCTGTAGGTATGTGCTAGCTGTAGGTATGTGCTAGCTGCAGGTATGTGCTAGCTGCAGGTATGTGCTAGCTGCAGGTATGTACTTGTTGGCCTTCTGTAGCAATGTACTTGCTGGTCAGGCTGCCTACTGGTGACATATATAAGTCATTATTGCTGAAAGCATTCAAGGGGGGTGAAGGTTATATGAGCATTGACAGATAAACTACCGGACCAACATGTTGTATGAAGCCTGGTGTAGATAGTGGTAATTATTTGGCAGTGACTTTTTACAGCTCCTTCCATTGCCGGGCAGTGCTCAGGCCAAGATAGAAGATGTCTCTAGATTGTTTCTCAACCATGTTAGCCAAATGCCTATGAATGTGCCCATGATTCAGGTTGTAATCCACACCCTCTATCTCTCTGTTGTCTTCTATATTGATGTTGTAAAAGCCTCTATGGTCAATGTGGCCAACCCATTTCATATTTTGGAATTGTGCATGACTTGAAAAACTTACAACTCTTGTGACATTTTAATTGATATTTTGATATTACTAGACTGATTTCTTAAAAAGAAAAATGCAGAATCGGCTAAAGAATAAAAATTTTTTACCTTAGTATAAACTCACTTCAGCTAAAGAATAGCATGCTTAATTTAACTTAGTAGACTGTGAAAATAATTGTTAGTTTAAAGCTACTATCCCACACACGGTTGTTTAAGCATTTTTGAAAAAAGATAAAAATTTCACCACAGGATCAAAGATAAAATTTCACCACAGGCTCATGTATTAATATGGAACTAGTTGATGAATACATGCCTTGCCCGACAAAAAAAACATTTTAGTAAAGAATTTGCATCTTTTTTCCTTCTGCAATTTAAAACATTGCAACGTTTTATTTTGTAAACATTGACATAATTTAGAATCCTGTATAAACACATCCTTAAACTGTTTGCAAGTATAACATTTGTATGCTAAGTAAGTCTTTTCATACTATAATCAATTGCTGCACAATATATCAATAAGAAAGTTTTGTCTATAAAAACTTAAGAAAAAAAATATTGATCAAAATGTTTATGAATTGTGGCAAAATTTGGCATGTCAGTCATACCAAAATATCAAGAGTGTTGACCAGCCTGTTTATAGTGTGACCATGATTCAGAGGCCATTTTGTTCTTGTTGTATATGTCACAGTACTTTTGTCCTCAGTTATGTATCACTATCTCAGCTTTTGTTCATATTTCTAAGTTATTCAAACCATTTAGATATTATGCATGGGACATAATGAGTTAGTCTAAGTCCCTACTATTGTGTTATAGATAGGCCATCACTATTTTCTTAGATTTTATAGCATTTGATTTTGTTTGTTGTGCTGTAATCATGTTGTACACCTGACATTATTTCTGCTGATTGTACCCTCACCCTTTCTGTTAATTGGTGTTGCAAATGTTAATTGAGCATTATTTACAGGTAAGTGTTTTGACATCATACTACACAATTGTTAGATATAGTCAGAGATAGAATTCTTTCTTTGCCTTTTTTCTTTCTGATCAGATATGTAAGTAAGTTAAAAGAAATGTGCCCTTTTCCTAGGGAGTGATTGAGGGAGTTAGCCAGGGGTGAGTGGTAACTATTTGAACAAATGATTGAGTGGTCTAGATTAAATTTTTTCTTCTTTGCTGTTTGAGTTTTTATTTGTCGGCATAATAAATGCTAATAATTTAATGAAGGTATTTCAATTATATAGAGCGTCTACTCTTAGAACATCTTCTTGCCTGTATTTTACAAAAATATCTCTCAACTATTTTCTCTATCAGTACAATTAACAGGAAATAGTGTATATTGTCACAGAGCTATATTGAAATGAACTGGAAGCTGTGATGTCATACACTTACAGTCTATATCAGCAAGTTCACTTTTTATGCCCCCGCCATGTAATGGCCGGGCCATATAGTGTTACCCTGTTCCGTCCTTCCGTCCTTCCGTCATTCCGTCCTTCCGTCATTCCGTCATTCTGTCATTCCGTCATCATCAGTTTCCGTTCATTATCTCCCCAACGGTACAACACATTCAACTTAAATTTGACATATGGATATGTCATGAGAAAATACAGGTCAAGTTCGAATTTGGTCATGGTTCGATGATTTTTGGCAGAGTTATGCCCCTTTTACTTTGAAAATAATATGAAATTTTCAGTTTCCGTTCATTATCTCCCAAACGGTACAACACATTCAACTCAAATTTGACATATGGATATGTCATGAGAAAATACAGGTCAAGTTCGAATTTGGTCATGGTTCGATGATTTTTGGCAGAGTTATGCCCCTTTTACTTTGAAAATAATATGAAATTTTCAGTTTCCGTTCATTATCTCCCCAACGGTACAACACATTCAACTCAAATTTGACATATGGATATGTCATGAGAAAATACAGGTCAAGTTCGAATTTGGTCATAGTTCGATGATTTTTGGCAGAGTTATGCCCCTTTTACTTTGAAAATAATGTGAAATTTTCAGTTTCCGTTCATTATCTCCCAAACGGTACAACACATTCAACTCAAATTTGACATATGGATATGTCATGAGAAAATACAGGCCAAGTTCGAATTTGGTCATGGTTCGATGATTTTTGGCAGAGTTATGCCCCTTTTTCTTTGTAAATAATATGAAATTTTCAGTTTCCGTTCATTATCTCCCCAACGGTACAACACATTCAACTCAAATTTGACATATGGATATGTTTTTGGAATGCGCAGACCAAGTTCGAATCTGGTCATGGTTCAATGATTTTTGGCAGAGTAATGCCCCTTTCACTTTGAAAATAATATGAAATTTACAGTTTCTGTTCATTATCTACCCAACAGTGTTACATATTCAACTCAAATTTGACATATGGAAATGTCAAAGGAATGGGCAGGTCAAGTTGGAATTTAGTCATGGTTCGATGATTTTTTGGCAGAGTTATGTCCCTTTCACTTTGAAAATAATATAGATACGTCTTAGGAATAAGCAGTTTAAGTTTGAATTTGGTCATGGTTTAATGATTTTGGACAACCTTATCTTTCTTGAATATTGGAAATTTTTTGAACTTTTTCTTTCAGCACTCATACTTTTGTGGAAATGTATGTATAGCCATTATTTTGGCTACAAATATGAAATATGCTATTTTCAAAAGGTTAAGACTGAATAATTTCAGTGCCTTGAATATTGTATGAAAATGGTTTGTGTTAACACTGAAAAGTTTAAAGGGCTTTGAACTTAAAATGAAAACAATAATTTGTGCAAACAAATTTGGAACTAAATATTATAACATCTGAAATTTTGGCTGCATGCGGGGGCATCCGTGGCATGATGACACATTTCTAGTTTTCATGAGATTTCCTGAAACAAGTTCCACCATCTTGAATTTGTAAAGAAATTTTCGTTAAAGAAAAAGAAAAAAAATTGACTATAATTAAAGCATTTGCAAATAAGCTAAAATAAGATGAAATAATAACAAATAAACAACATTAACATTCTGGTCCTTAAAACAAGTGTGTGGAAATAGACCAACTTCAAGGTACATTGAAATGTGCAAGGGATTGTGGGTCTGGATGTGAAAATGTTCTATTTTAAGATTTTCTTATTCCTCTGTATTATAAGTCTCTGATATTATTGTCTTAAACATATAGTATAGTTGCATCTTAATTGCAATAGTTGCTTATTTTAATATTTGCTGTTTTATTTCATTATACATGTAGTCTACCGCACTTGTAGTAATTCAATTAAGTAGAACTACATGTAGATGTAATGGATTGAATTATAATATAAACATGTCCCTCTGTTTTTCTTCAGCCAACAATTTGGAGTATAATGATTTATATGTTACCTATGTTACAAAATTACTGTGAAAATGAAATATTTTGATAATCATGATTGTATATTGAATCATGTTAAGTGTTAAAGGTTGATTTTTATTATGTTAAATAACTAACTATATTTGCCCAGTTGCAAAAAAAGATAGATATTATGAAAAAAGTCCATAGTTATAGTAAATGTTATTCTTTTAACTTAACAGAAACATAGTATGATTTTTTGTAAATGTAGTATATAACATCTTTAATTAATTATAAATAGTGATTGTTTTTGCAATATAAATAGAGTCTACATGTTGAAATATTTTACTGTGTATCAAATTTAATGTCAGATAATTGCCACATAGTATTTAAGCCTTTTTAACATGGAAATGAGAAAAAAAAACACAAAGGTATGACAAAGTGCTGTTGACTGATTTGTCGTCTTTTTGCCTTTTTCTTCTGTAGAATGCCAAAATGTGGATATACTGTGTTTTTTTAATTTCATGGCAAAATATGACATGGCATAGATCGGCCACTAAATAGAGAAAATGCAAATGATTATAGCTAGAAAAGCATAAAAATTATAGGAGTTATTTTTTAATTGTATAATTATTAAAATGATATAATATCATATGTATAAATCTTCATATTACAATCTGAATGAATGCATGACTGTATAAATATTTGTCTTTAATTCTAGAGAGAAAATATTTTAAATTGCCTGTAAATGTATATATAAAAATCTTTTCACAAGGTTAGCTTTTATTTATTTTTTAGTAATTACATATAATATTTTAAGGATTTAGTAACTATTGAGTTATTATTGCTAAATAATGTTCTACATGTATATTGTACTAGATCTAATAAACACATCTTTAGTTTCATATTTGTGCTTTTATTGTTTAGGATATGTCAAAAGAAGCAGAGAAAAACCTGACACCAAAGCAATGTGCCGTACTTGACATGGCATTGGAAGCAATCAAGTTGTATTTCCATGCCGGCGGTCAGGGTCTGAAGAAGAATTTCCTGGAGAAGAGTTCAGAGTTGCAGTCATTACGCTATGCTCTGTCCCTGTACACACAGACGACAGACACTTTGATCAAAACTTTTGTTAATTCACAAACATCTCAGGATCAGCCTAGTCAAACAGAGACGGTCGGTGAAGTCTCTATACAGGTTGATCTGTTTACACATCCAGGTACAGGCGAGCATAAAGTTACTGTCAAAGGTAAGAAATCCCCTCTTTCTAACATCTTTAAAACCTGCTTTTCTTTTAAACAAAGTAGTATTTTTACTTCCATACAAAATACTAAATCACAATATCAATACTAACTGCCAGAAAGCAACAAAAGCAAAAGATTGTTCAGCTAATTGGTCAATGTGTAATGTTTTGGAAACCATAACAGGACACCAAAAATAAAAGGCTTTTGAGATATTAAAATAAAAGCATTTCTATGGCATAATGGGTCTTTAAATAAAGAGGAGAAAAAAGTTAAGATTATCATAATATATTTATCTAAACACTGATATTTTATGTTATATAAACACCTTGTAATTAATTTTGGTAACAGATTTTCTCTTTGAATGTGTAATAGATTGATGTACTGAAATAATATCTGGAAGGATGTACATTTGTACACTTGAATCATAGTAAAACATCAGAATAACAATGTATGTTCTTAGATGCACATATTATTATTATTACTAGACACTTAACATAATTCATAACTTTGAATTTATAATACTGTTGTTAAAGGCAGATAAATTTGTTTACTTAAGTCTTAAACCTTTATCCTTGAATATTTCAGTTGTTGCGGCTAATGATTTGAAGTGGCAGACTACAGGCATGTTCCGACCTTTTGTAGAGGTGAACATGATTGGACCACATCTTAGTGATAAGAAAAGGAAACATTCTACAAAATCTAAGAGCAACAATTGGTCTCCAAAATTCAATGAAACATTCCACTTGTAAGAGGATAAAATATGTTGTTTTTATATATATTTTTATTATATAAGAGTTTTCATCTTGCAATTAAAGAAACATTTCTTTAAAGATTAAAAAGAACAACCTGTTCAATTGTTCTTTATAGAGCTGCAATGTAACTTATTGTAAATGGAAGAATAATGAAGGCCTATTCTAACAATATTGTAATCACAGTAAAGAAAAGAAACTAAAGCTTGATTGAAATATAGATGTTCATTCTTTTATAAGAATGTTTTGGTGAGGCTGTATTTTTATATCAATTTAATGAAATAAATCTTTCCTTTTTTTTCTCTTTTTTAAGATTTAAGAATTGCATCTTGCGTTTGTATTCAGAAAAATATTCAGAGTTATTTTAAACATAATGAATTCTTGTGATATTTCAGTATTTTGGGTAATGAAGATGAGCCAAGTTCTTACGAGCTTCACATCTGTGTGAAGGACTATTGTTTTGCACGTGAAGATCGTCTTATAGGTATGGCGGTAATGCAGTTACGAGACATAGCTGAACAAGGAAGCTGTGCTTGTTGGTGCTCACTAGGTAAACGTTTACAACTCGACGAGACAGGCTGGACAATTTTACGTATTCTGTCGCAGAGGACAAATGACGAAGTCGCGAAAGAGTTTGTAAAACTTAAGTCAGAGGTGCGCCACCTAGAGGAACACATGATGCAAAAGAAATAGGCTCTTATATTATGCATTTTTCATTCTATTTTGATGCATTTTGTAATATACATGTTTTTATTCAATTTTTATTTCATATGTACAATCACATATACATATATGTATAGATATTAATGTGTATTTTTCTTGTTTTTATTTTTTTCCTGTATAGTCTGTATAGAAAGTTAAAGTGTTTATTATTTGGTAAATTTGATATTTGGGCCAAAAAAAGGAAAATGGTTGGTTAGCTATTTGAATTTGTATTTTTATTAGCTTCTTTATTCAAAGAATAGGGAAAGCTATTTTACTCACCTGGCGTTGGAATCACACCTTTGGTTGGTTAAGTTGGCAAATGGGTGCCATGTATCACAATATATCTCCAAAACTATTAAAGGGAATGGGTTAAAACTTCACACACTTGTTCTCTGTGGTAATCTAACCAAGCACATGTACTGTAACTCCAAGTTACCTTTTTACAGAGTTATGCCCCTTTTCTTACTGTCAAGCATTGGAAATAGTCTTTCGGACAGCTCTTGTTTTTAAGGTAGGATTGTATTGTACATGGTGATGAAGTCCAACAAAATATCGAAGAAACTGTGAAATAATGAAGACAGAAAGCTATGACATAATATGTCATGTAATACATAAATTGTTTGAAACAATGATTCTCTGTATGTCTCTGCTGTTAACATGTATTCATAGAATTGTTTGTACATACATAACTAAGGATTTCAGAAGTAACTAAGGATTTCAGGTGTACCATTGTTTTGAAAAGTTACTAGGAAATTATTGAACTTTTGTGAAATCATTACAAGGCTTCATGAAGTGGGTATTATATAAGTTTATATTGTATTTGGAGCTTTTAATCTCTGATGACTTTAAGGATCTTGTCTGATCTGTGTCATACCATTACTGAAACAATTAAATATTACTTCAATGTCAGCAATTTTCATCATTAATTTTGTGGCATAACTGACTTTTTCAGTGTAAAATAACAAAATATAAGAATTAAAGTATCAGAAAAAAATATTGTATACAGATTTTTAAGTAAACTATATTTTAATCTATTATGGGGTAAATTATAAAAAGGTGATGGACAAATTTTTTTCTTTCACAGTTTTGTTACCTAGTTATAAATATCAAATACATAATACCTGTACCTTCATATAAATTTATGTGTTCAATTGTTTAAAACAGATCTGATAGAAATTTGAAAGAATCTCTGAAAAAAGTCCATTTTTTACAGTTGTTAATTTGTTATTATTAAACAGTCTAAGTAGTTGTTTATATTTTTGTTGTTATTTTTTTCCAAATCAAAGTTCACTTTTTTGTAAGGTGTGTTTATAGAACTATTTATCTAGAAGAATTTATATAGAAAGTATATATATATATTATATTTACCTTATTTATTTATCAAACAAAGCTTTATTGCCATTTATTTAAAGACTTTCCTTGCAATATTTACTGCATTTATATACAGTTTATTTTTTCTAACTGGAAATTAACTTTACTATGTTGCAATATCTCATGACAAAACAATTTTATAATCTCATTATTATATTCATATTTTATATGAAATATCATATATGATTTTGGTATACATGATATATCATATATAGTATGATATTTTTGTGTGATATATGGTGGTATATGATATATACTATATGATAGATTGATGATGTTGATATATTACAAGAGGTGATTGGGAAGTTTGTAGACTTGGCATTTAACATTCTTATTATTTGTCACATTAAACTTGAAACATAAAACATTCATCAACAAACAGGTATGCAGTTGTATTACAAACACATTTAATGTTATTCTCTAAACCGCTAGTGTCCTTAGGAATGTATACCATTAAACCTGGAGCATGCCGATTTTTTTGCATTCTTTTTTTTCTAATTGATAAATACTGCATTCAAATTGATTTTTGTGCATACTACTCAAGAAAATAGTTTGCTGATTCTGATGTCATTTTCTGAAGTTGTAATCTTTATTAGATCTTTTGCTTGAAAGATATAATCATTTTAAAGACTTATCACTAACAGAAATTTCTATGACATAGCTAGTTGTGTGTATTGTGTGCTCAGGATACTCATTACTGTGTTATTGGACATAACTTGTTTAGTGATGAATGTTTTTTCAGTTCATATTTATTTATCATGGAAAAGTACATTTTATTTTCATTTGTAAGGGAACTTCCTGGTCACCCCTTGTATATGTGATATATAATAAATGATTATATATGATACATTATAATGGCTGGTATTATATATGATATATAATAAGTGGTGATATATGATATATAATGGATGGTGATATATGATATATAATGAATGATTATATATAACATATTATCATTATATATGATATATAATGGATGGTGATATATGATATATAATGACTGATTACATATAACATATTATCATTATATATGATATATAATGGATGATGATATATTATATATGATGTACTATGGATGGTATATACACATGTTTTACATACAAACATAAACAAGCATTTTAATCATTGTTATTTTATTTCCAGATCTTCTTAAACATTCCACAACTTGTAGTTTTCATATCCAGTGTCAGCCACCAGCTCTTAATAGCATAAACTAAAGAATATTATATGAAGTTTGTTTAAAATTTTTCATTGTTGTATTTTAATCATTTTATGGATGACCAAAATATTGTAAACAAAATTTTTCCTTTGAGGTCAAAAAGAATCTGTTTATAACTATACAAAGTATTTGGAGAATATTAGTATGTTTGAATGAATATGACTTATATTTCACTAGGGATAGAGAAGTTTCAATCATGCTCAAAAACTAAAAGCACAAGTAAAACATAAGATATTCTCACCTCTTTGTAAGGTATATTTCATGTTCATTTAAAACGGAAAACTTATTTTATTACATATTGAACAGTGAATATTTTGGGGCTGAAATATAAAATTGCTTAAATGATAGTTTGTTGTATACATACTGTTACAACAACAACACAAACAACATGTAAGTGCTGAGATAATTAGCTTACATTATTTGATATAACTGCTGTTTTATCATGTATTGTTTTTGGCAGTTATTTTTTTGTTAATGAAAAAAATGCATAATAATTAAATGCCAAAACGGGACTTCAAAATGAAAAAATATTATGTTATGAAATAAATAGTTTATATTAATTGAAATTACCGTTTTTATGTTGTAGAGTATAATTTTATTTGTATATCTAGTTTTTTAAAACCTTCTAAAATGAAGGTGAATATATATACATACATATACATGTATATGATTTTCATTTCTCTACACTTTTTATCAGCTAAATGTAGACATAAATGTGGTTTTTATACTCTGTAGGAATTCAAATGATTAAGACAACTTTGAATTGATGCTGTTCGACCAAATGTTACCTTACTGGAAATAAATTTTTTGCGTGATTATTATGATCCTGGATGTTTTAGCCAACTGAACTAACAGGTTTTAATTAATATAGATCCAGAGTTTGTGATATTTCCTGCATTAATTATTTTGTATGTAAACAATATAAGGGTTGTGACAAATAAAACAATTGATACTAATTTAACATGACTTGTTAAAAAAGCAGTGGTAAAATAAGAATGTACCCTCGAACCTGTAACCTGTTGAAACAGAACAGTCAATAGCCAGGTCAGCTTGTACATCTGTGCAGTCTGTTTTGGTCTCTCTATTGTCTATATAAGGTGGAATCCAATTTACAAATTCAGTAGGTCAAGGTTAATAAAGAATGTGAATTTTGAAAATACACACAAATGTATGTTATAATGTTTCTTAGATTGTGGACTAGAAGAATTACTCTCTGCTATATTCGAGCTCACACACAAGTTTTTATTCAACATGGTGTTATAATGCTTATCTGGGGATTCATAACTATCATACTGAACAGATAATTTTGTTGGCAATATTTTGCTATTTTGTGTAATAAATGAACAAGTTGTTAAGTTTTTGTTTAAAAGTCTTGTATTATGCATTTATTGTTGGATCTCTCTGAATCCCTTTATTTCTATCTCAGGTTTACCTGTTTACCACTATTGTGTTGTTTTCTTTAAATCAGAAATTTTCATATTTTTAGCTCACCTGTCACAAAGTGACAGGGTGAGCTTTTGTGATCGCTTTTCGTCCGGCGTCCGTCCGTCGTCCGGCCGTCCGTCCGTCCGTCCGTAAACTTTTACTTTAAATGACATCTCCTCATAAACCACTAAGCCAATTTCATCCAAACTTCACAGGAATGTTCCTTTGGTGGTCACCTTTATAAATTGTTCAAAGAATTTAATTCCATGCAGAACTCTGGTTGCCATGGCAACCGAAAGAAAAAACTTTAAATATCTTCTTTTAAAAAACCGTAAGAGCTAGAGCTTAGATATTTGGCATGAAACATCTTCTAGTGAGTGTCTACCAAGTTTGTTCAAATAAAAGCCCTGGGGTCAAAATTGGCCCCGCCCCGGGGGGTCATTGATTTTCCCTATATACATATAGTAAAAACTTAAAAAATCTTCTTTTAAAGAACCAAAAGAGTTAAAGCTAAGATATTTAGCATGAAACATGTTGTAATAAGTGTCTACCAAGTTTGTTCAAATAAAAGTCCTGGGGTCAAAATTGGCCCCGCCCCGGGGGGTCATTGATTTTCCCTATATACATATAGTAAAAACTTAAAAAATCTTCTTTTAAAAAACCATAAGAGCTAGAGCTAAGATATTTGGCATGAAACATCTTCTAGTGAGTGTCTACCAAGTTTGTTCAAATAAAAGCCCTGGGGTCAAAATTGGCCCCGCCCCAGGGGGGTCATTGATTTTCCCTATATACATATAGTAAAAACTTAAAAAATCTTCTTTTAAAGAACCAAAAGAGCTAGAGCTAAGATATTTAGCATGAAACATGTTCTAATGGGTGTCTACCAAGTTTGTTCAAATAAAAGCCCTAGGGTCAAAATTGGCCCTGCCCCGGGAGGGTCATTGATTTTCCCTATATGCATATAGTAAAAACTTAAAAAATCTTCTTTTAAAGAACTCAAAGAGCTAGAGCTAAGATTTTTAGCATGAAACATGTTCTAATAACTGTCTACCAAGTTTGTTCAAATAAAAGCCCTGGGGTCAAAATTGGCCCCGCCCCAGGGGGGTCATTGATTTTCCCTATATGCATATTGTAAAAACTTAAAAAAATCTTCTTTTAAAGAACCAAAAGAGCTAGAGCTAAGATATTTAGCATGAAACATGTTCTAATGGGTGTCTACCAAGTTTGTTCAAATAAAAGCCCTGGGGTCAAAATTGGCCCCGCCCTGGGGGGTCATTGATTTTCCCTATATGCATATAGTAAAAACTTAAAAAATCTTCTTTTAAAGAACTCAAAGAGCTATGGCTAAGATATTGAGCATCAAACATGTTCTAATAGGTGTCTACCAAGTTTGTTCAAATAAAAGCCCTGGGGTCAAAATTGGCCCCACCCCAGGGGGTCATTGATTTTCCCTATATGCATATAGTAAAAACTTAAAAAATCTTCTTTTAAAGAACCAAAAGAGTTAAAGCTAAGATATTTAGCATGAAACATGTTCTTATAGGTGTCTACCAAGTTTGTTCAAATAAAAGCCCTGGGGTCAAAATTGGCCCCGCCCCGGGGGATCATTGATTTTCCCTATATGCATATAGTAAAAACTTAAAAAATCTTCTTTTAAAGAACTCAAAGAGCTATGGCTAAGATATTTAGCATCAAACATGTTCTAATAGGTGTCTACCAAGTTTGTTCAAATAAAAGCCCTGGGGTCAAAATTGGCACCGCCCCGGGGGTCATTGATTTTCCTTATATGTGTATAGCAAAAACTTAAAAAATCTTCTTTGAAAAAACCCAAATAGCTAGAGTTAAGATATTAAGCATGAAACATCTTTTAGTGAGTGTCTACAAAGTTTGTTCAAATAAAAGACCTGGGGTCAAAATTGGCCCCGCCCCGGGGGTCATTGATTTTCTTTATATGTGTATAGCAAAAACTTAAAAATTTTCTTTGAAAAAACCCAAATAGCTAGAGTTTAGATATTAAGCATGAAACATCTTCTAGTAAGTGTCTACAAAGTTTGTTCAAATAAAAGCCCTGGGGTCAACTGGCCCGGCCCCAGGGGTGTCATTGTTTTTAACTATATGTGTATAGAGCTTAGATGTTTAGCATGAAACATCTTCTTATGGGTGTCTACCGAGTTTGTGCAAATAAAAGCCCTTGGGTTAAATTGGCCCTGCAACGTTGGGGGGGGGGGGGGGGGTGGCCTATATACAGGTGAGCGACCTCAGGGCCATCATGGCCCTCTTGTTTATCAATTACTGTTTGATAATCATTTTGTTTGTTTTCATTAAGCAAACCAAAACACAAAAAAAAGTTAGTTTTATAACTATAGTATTTTCATCAATAAGTAGGACTACAAGATCTTGGATCCAATTAAAATAAGTTGTTGTCTTTTTTTCTGTGTAATATATTTGAAGTGTAATATCCTGATAAATTTATATATCACCTGCCCTTGCTTTAGTTTCTTATGCTTATAGATGTTATGTTATATAAAGTTTTATAGTTTACATTATAGGTTGTGAAATCCACTTTGTTATTGTTAATTGCAACTTAAATCATATTGTTTATACAGATGTTGTTATTAGGACTGTTTGTCAGTGGCTGGCAATATATCACCTTTGGTTGGTTGACATAATTTATATTGTTTACTATATTAATTAAAATGGGGGTGTAGTGGGTCAGATATAGGGTTTAAAATGAGGAATTTGTGAACAAGTGGTTGATATCACTGACTGACTTACTTGTTGGTCAATGCTGTAGCAGAAAGTCACTTTATACATAATGCATTAAGCTATTTGACATCATTAAGTTATTAAATGGAACAAGTTATTTAATGGAACAATTAGTGTTATGATCAAGGGGCACCTGTTGTTTTCTACCAGCTGTCAAGCTGATATAGTCCTAGATAATAAAAGTATCTGTGTGATGTAAACACAACTGGAATGGGGTCTTACGGATGAAAGTTTTGAAGAGATATTTTCAAAGTTTCGTAGTAAAACGTTCAAGTTGTTGTGTTACCATAGATATCAAAGTTGTCTGGGATATACATGTATATCATTTATAATTCAGGTGATAATAGAAAGTGACATATATAAATAGGTGATATATCTGTCTGTGCATTGATATACAGTCCTACATTTAATAATATCTTAAGTTGTATTAATTTTTATGTTAGATTTACATAATGAAATGTTTAAAAACTGTGTCTTTCTATAGTTAATTAATTTATGGTTATATTTAATGAATTGATGATGATAATTGTTTTTTTTACCTATACAATCAGTTGCATGAAATCCAATCCAGAAATGATTTTATTTAACTGCTTCTTACAATCAACAATGATATTTTGGTTTATCATACAGTAATCACTGTTTACATGAAAATAATTGCAATATATTTTAAGAGCATGATTTTTTAAATGGTACTCTGTCATATAGCTATGAAATCCATCAGTAGTTTCCCAGGTCAATGGTAAGAATAATACTTACCTTTGTGTTTTCCTCTTGTAATTACTAATAAGATTTGTTTTTATTTGGCTTATATTTTGCTGACATATTTTTATTGTTCAAATAAATTATTTAATTAATTTGCTTTACACATCATATTCTACACACAGGTGTTGGGGTCCCATTTCTAGAGCTTTATATTTATAGTTTTATTTTATTATTTGTTTTGGGTTATTTTTTTTTGTTTTTTTTTTTCTGAAATATTATTATTAAAGGTTTATGGTATATACAATGTATTTCAGTTGAATATTTGAGTTGTGAAACTTTAGAAATCCAAACATTTATTTCTTATATACATTTTGTTCCAGTATTTATTGCATATTATCTAATTTTATTGCTAACAGCAATTCATTATTTGAAAATTATTATCATTTAGATTTTCAGAAAATCCAAAATCCAACAAAAATCTTGTAAAAGTGATAATTTTTACAGGTTACAAATTTTTACAGGTTACAGACCACTAAATATCACATTTTCTGTCATGTAGCTAGAGCAATATTTTCACTAAAATAGAGATTTTCGAAATACACACAAATATTGTCACAAAATTTATGTTAATAAAAACGTGCAACAAAAAAGGATTTATATGCAGAGTGTAGTGTTTTATATTATACTATAAATCTCATCCTGTGAATGCATATAAGCATGAGTTCAATTTCCTATGCTCTGTAACATAAGAAATTCACGAACACAAATCGATATAGTTGGGAAATATGTTGTGGTTTAGAACTGTTTCATTGTGTAGCAGGCCGGATAGCTCAGTTGGTCTTCTGAAAGTCATGGGTTCGAGTCATGGTCAGGCAGTTTCAGTCAGGGTTTAGAAGTGGTTTTTCAATTGACACATGTTTGATTCATTTAACAGATTGCATTATTTGAAATGGACAAAGGCAGTATTGCATGATACTTTTAGATCTACAAAGGGCATTTGATACAGTTGAACACACTATACTGCACATGAAGAAGTTGTTTTTCTTCTTCATGAAACTTCAAGCATCTGCCATATATAATGACATTCTTACATGGTTTAAGTCTTATCTCTGATAGTAGCTGGTTGATGTGGCTGGTACTCATTCTACTACTGCTCTGAGTACCTATGCTGTCCCCCTGATGTTCATTTTAGGTCCTCTTTTATGTCTAATATATGTCAATTACATGTCTTCAACCCTAAGCAATAAGCTTTTATTATAATGCACAGGCACGAGTATCAGACCTTGGAAGAAAAAATATGGCCAGATTGATAAAAAAACCTGTGAAGTGTCAACAACCAAAATAAAATGTAAATAATGACCCCCTTTAAAAATATACTATCAACTGATTATATGCTGATGACTCAGGAATCCTTGTGTCTCATAAAATAAATCTGAAGAAATTCTTTCTTATAGCATGAGTCTTATAAGATTGCTTAATTGACTATAAATTGTCTTTGCATCTTGGCAAGACAGAGTCTATTCTTTTTTGGTTTAAGTTTCAGCTTAAACTGGCCCTAGCCTCCAGGTCACATGTAATGGTACTGCTATAAAGTACATATCTTTTATATAGGTGCAAATCTGGATCAAATTCTTTTGGCGTCGCCCTTTGATGCTTTGCATCAATGCTTTTCTTGTTTATTTTTGTCTTAAGTCCTGTGTTTTGATTATAAAACCTTTAAATCCTTTATTTTATAGGTTCTATCAAAAAAATTGAATTAATAAAACTTTATTTAAGTAACTTAATAATGTTTATTTACTTCTTTTAAAACTTATTTATTTTTTCTTTCATTTTAAAGCAAATCTTCGTCTAAAGAAAGTGTGCTGGGTTTTCCTGTATGACTTGAAAATATATTTAAGTACATGATTGTTTTGTAAGTTGTAAAATACATCCATTAGAGCTATGATCTTAGATTGCCTTGACTGACTATTTTATAACTTTAAAATGAAGTTCTTATACAATCAGTTGTAGGAATGTTTTAACAGTTACAATACTAGGTATATGTTTACATGTATTTGTAAGGTAAGCATTTATGTTTTAAAGTTGTATTATATAAACAGAGCTCCTTGTGTAAAATACATGTGAGCCTCATGATAGAATGAGTAAAATAATAAACAACTTTTAATCAATATAGACTTGTCTTTTATTTTATCGTATGTGATATGACGAATCATAATGTATTTCTCTGATAATAATCATAAAATTCCTTGATGCTAATTAGCGGTATTGTCAGAAGGTTATAGTTGTCATAAACCCACATATAATGGATTTGTGTAAAGGATTTGCCAGCTTTGAATTTGGAACAGTCCATACAAAGTTTAATGATTACAATGCCAAAATACAAAAATTGAGTTACCAACAGCATTGAGCGTAACCAAGACAGCAATGATGTGCAGCCTGGCCTGGTTTTATACTGGTAACAAAGACTAATTATATTTGGTTCCTTCAGGTTTATCTCCTTGTCCCTCACCTCTATGACCAGAATCATGTTACTGATGCTGAATTTGCCTCATCTGAGGAAGTTATCAAGTTATTGCTGTTTCTGCTGGTTTCTATTTCCAGAAAAGGAGCACTTATATGATATTTCCAATGCAGTACATGTGGGAAATTACCAGGTGGAAAGTTACCATACATTTGTATGACCTTAAAATGATGGAGTGATTTGAGGATGAAATCCAATCATCATTCTTGGCAACATATGACAGGACAGAGAAAAATATTGTGTCGATGTTTCATTCAGGGGGATATTGGGTCAATTTATTAGTCAGGAAATTATTATGTCAATGTTAAGACAGGGCTATAGCGGGTCGATGTTTTAGTTAGTTGATAATTGGATCGATGTTTTAGTCAGGAAAATATTGGGTTAATATTTAGGGAAGGAGTATATTGGGTCAATGTTTTAGTCTGGAGTATGTTGGAGGTCAATGCTTATGTCAGACGAAAATTGGGTCAATGATTTTGTTATGAGAACATTTGGTCAATGTTTAATAAATCATCTCGTAAGAAATTTATTTGAAAAATATTTGTTCGATCAGATCAATGTTGTAAAGTCAAATGTCTGTGTAATTTGATCAGGTAATTTA